TCAAAATGTAATGGGATTGAAGGTTAACCATTAACTCATTTAATTATTTGCAACTTTGTAAAATGTTTATAATATTATAATTATCTTCACATTTACAATTTTATTTGATAAAACCCAAAATTTAATGGAACTTTATGTTAACTATTAACTCATTTAAATTATTTGCAACTAATCTTATAATAAAACAAAAATCTTTTTAATATTTTGCAACATAAAATAATTAAATTTCGACATGGAAGAACACATCTTGAAAAAATCTAAACTCAGCAAGAAAGTAGAGAATTAAAAAAAAAAATAGAATTTAAGAACAACTGATCAATATTTCTAATAACTGCAACATTGTGTCATAAGATAGTACATTTATATTTTATTACAAATACTCATAATTTCATAAATATTAAATATATACATCTCTTTTTATATTATAACAATAACACAAATAATTTAATACAAATATTCTCATCAAAACTACAATCAGAATACAAATCATCAATAATTTTCGATGCAAACAATTTCAACAATTTCAATGAAGACAACAAAAAATATAATTCGTTTAAAGTCCTTGATAAAGGTATGCAAGTAAGTAAAGTACATCTATATATATATACATGATCACTGTAAACCGAAAGAATCGTTTAAAGCTACTTCTCAGGACCTTCTTTCAGAGTTATCTTTTCATTTCTTTTTTTTGTTCTTATACCATGCAACCGCAAATACGAGCAAGAATGGTGGTAGTATCTTTCGCCCTAACCGTAATAAAATCACGCGACCCTCAGCCTTGACGTTATTCACAGTACCTGACCCGGACATAGGCACTTGTACTTTAAACAACAAGCTACTTTACACGTTCAAATATATCACACGACCAATGATTTAAGTAAACCTAGGTGTGACTGATCTTCTCATGAATTAAATCTAATTGAATTTGATCATTAATACAAAAATTATATTTATCTTCAACATCTACCTATCAGCAGATAAATGATACTCATACATTTCTTCATTCACACACATACAAACTCATACTAAATTCTCTCATATATATATATATTAAAAAGAAAAACTTGAACTATTGTTCTCACGAAAGCAAGCAGAGCAAGAAGTACGTCTCAGGGTTTTTTTACGAGAACCTTTAATGATACCCTCGAAGGTCATTGAACTCGTAAAACAAGTAAAAAAGAAAAGAAAACGAAAGGAAAGGTAAGAAAGAAAAGAAAAATATCGAAGAAGAAGAGGAACGTGAGCTAGTGTATTCGATCCTTTAAAGGGTATCTTTACAGGGTCATTCGTCGTTGGAAAAGCTCGTGAACGCGAGCAGGAGTGTGTAGGTGGAGACAATCGGGCGTGTATCTCGTTCATACCATCTCTCTCTCTCTCTCTCTCTCTCTCTCACACACACACACACTTCTTCCTTTTTTCTAGAAGAAGTAACAGCAATAGCAGCAGCAGCAGCAGCAGCAGCAGCAGCAGCAGCGAATCCGAAGCCATCTCACGGATGTCTATTTGTTTTCACGCTACCAACGTATAGGTACTTTTACTACGTGGGAAGGGCTTAGAGTAGATGGCTCGTAGGCGAAGATAGGCTGAGTGAAAAGCGTGGATAATCAGAGAATAGAATAATGCTTGACACTTAAGAAGAATAAGAAGAAGAGGGTTAAGGATAAAAGAAACATTAAAGAAAGACCATAGGCGTGAATTGATGATAATACTTCTTATAGAACAAGATTACCAACTTATTGTTTATTCAAAATCATTTTTATATATAGAATTGAAATAAAATGCTATAATTCTATTGGTTACTGAGAGTCTGCTCTGAGAAAACAAAAAACAAGACATAGACATTTTAACATTCAAGGATATAGAATTCTTCACCCAACCCCCCTTATTAAGTACGTCCTGGTAGGACAGGATCCAAGGACAGTAAAATAATTCGATTTAAAAATCCCGAAGAGGTCTACTAGCGCAGAATATACACCCACGTTCGCAGCAGCACACTACGAAGTGTATAGGATCCGGTCACATATTTGTGGAGGTCGTCTTATGTCGTAAACAACGCGAACGTAATGCCGTTTCGTTCTGAAAGAAAATGAGAGAGAGAGAGAGAGAGAAAGACCACACCCGGTGTACGTACGGAGTACCACCATAAACACCGAAGAGTATCCTATCGTAACTGCTCGTTTTAACGTTCTTGCTCTTCGGCTTCGCATCGGTCTTTCTTATATTTGAAACAGCAGGGTGGATATGAAAACAGGTACGTGAAAAATGTTTGTTGTTATTATTATTATTATTGTTGTAAGAGAAAGAGAGGAATATAATGAAAAGTATGCGAAAAAATGATTTTTTCTTCAGTTAATGTATTTATTGTTGTTGATCTTATTTGTTTGTTATTGTCTTTTTATTAAAAATTTGTATTAATTCACTGATTTTTTGTATTTAATCGAGGTATCATGCCAAATGTATTTATTATGATAAATTTATTTTATATTAATAATTCAGTCTTCTGGATCAACAGTTACATTGATAACATCCCTGTGTCTAACTACCGTCAATTGCAATGAACCACTGCTTTCTAATGCTTTGTATATATTGACAGCGGCAAATACTGGTTCACCGTTGACGTGTGTAATTATATCACCAGCTTGTATTCCACTTCTAAAATTATACAAAAATAATACGAATATTATTATAAATATCAAAAAGTTTTCTCATTAATTAATATAAATAATATTAAACGTTTATTAATTTACCTATAAGCGGGAGAACCGGTTATTACTCTCCAAACAAATACGCCATGTTTGATCATGTCTAAAGAATAACCTCTTTTGTGTTGTAATTCAAAGATAATATCGGGTGAAATGGTTAACATCGTTATACCCATATATCTTCTTTTGTGTGTTTCTACCTGATCGGGAAGTTTACCTACAATGAAACATAATTATTGAGTTAATTCTAAAAGGCCATCTATCGACAAAATTCGCAATTACTTAGTTACCAACTCAATATAATATATTATAATAAAACAAAAGTAAATAATTAATTAAAATTACCTTTGTTCTTTCTACGAATTTCTGCCTTCTTTAAGAAATCTTTAGCATAATCTATAGGAATAGCAAAAGAAATACCCGCAGTAACTTTCATGGCATTAATGCCAATAGCTTCGCCATTTAAATTCACTAAAGGACCACCAGAATTTCCAAACTAGAAATTACACATAGCTTTTTGTTATAACAACGTACAATATTCTAATTGTTTTTTTTTTTTTTTTTATATCATAATAACTAACAGTAATAGCAGCGTCTGTTTGAATATAGGTTATGTTCCTGTCGAGACCGAGTTCTTCGCTTGGTCTATTTGTACTACTAACTACACCACTAGTTATCGTGTTACTCAACGACAGAGGAGAACCAATGGCGATTACAAACTCTCCAGGTCTAATATCTGACGAATTACCAAGTTTCATTACCGGTAAATCTTTCTGTAAATATAAAAATAATTTATACATTACGGTAGACATTTATGAAAAAAGATTAACAGAAGTATTTAGATAACGATAAGTTAATTTAATCCTTTCAAACGCCGGATATATCCGACATCCGCGCGATGACTTGTGCTTACGAGCGCCGGATATATCCGGCAGCTGCGCGTACTTCCGTATGATGACAACACTACGGTGAACTGGACTGCCAAAACGAAAGGGGTTAAAGATAAAAACAAGTTTTATACCTTATTAATTCTTAAAGTTGCAAGATCACCTTGCATATCGACGTCCTCTATTACACCATTATATACAGTTCCATCATGTAAGCGAACCTAAACAAATGATAAACATATGTATCTTTAAAAATAATATTGTATAATATTGTATTTACCTTAACTTTGCTATTGCGTCTTCTCATGACAACATGAGCATTGGTTAATATCAAACCATCGGAAGAGACAATAAATCCACAACCGTTACTAGTTGCGATAGGTCTTCCTGTGAACATATCTAATCTATTTTTAAATTAATATTATAATAATTTTAAATTAGATGTATATATATATTATTAATTTGGAATATAAATCTAACAAACATGTAGAAAAGAAATATTAATCAGAAACGTACCTCTGTACTTACTTTTTATCATCAGATATTTCTATGTAAACTACCGAAGGTGCTGATACCGCAACAACGTCTGCTATAAAATTATATCTCTCTCTATAATCCACGAGATTTGGTATAATGGTCGCAGATCTGACGATGGGCATTCCAAAATTGAACTCCCTGAATCGTTCGTACAAATCATTTCTTTTTTTGTACAAGAAATAACTGATTCCCGAAATGACTAACGTATAAGTTAACAAATGTTTTCCACTTCTGTTGTTATTATTAATCCTGTTGTCACGTTGACACAGATGGTTACTTCTTACTTGATTTAATTGATCTGCATTGAAAAATATAGCTGGTCGTACGTGCGACAAATATTCTTTTTTCAAAATGTTTAAAGAAACGCGTGACAAGAGGACAGTCATTTTGAATTGTAACAATCAAAGTATATAGGTTAGGTTTTTTCATTCAATTCTGTTGTCATCTAAATATACTACTACTATCAAAGAATATAGAATAATATATGACACTTTTTATGTCAAGAATTCATTTTAGTTCGCATTGGAACCACCAGTGGGCGATAGTAGGTAGAATACCATATTTTTTATGTTGATGGATTTCTTACTGACAATTGTCGATAAGGTAGAAATAGTCTTTCCCTAATTTATCGACCATGTAAAAAAACTAGTTAGCACGTGACTACCAGTAGGCTTTAATAGGTACTTTATCTAATGACAGTAGAATACTGTCAAAAATGTGTTCTACCTACTATCGCCCACTGGTGGTCGTAATGCTAACTAAATACATTCTGTATACTATTCTATATTCATTGATTTAACCTACTGTATTGAGCCGAATAATCAATAAACTCGTAGTTTCTGTTCTTGGTCAACATTTATAATCATAGTTGCATTGTATACTTTTGAAGTGTCAATATTCTTGGATATTTGGTATGATTACAAAGAATAAACAAATAATAACATCTACAACATTTTTAATTACATAACCTTACTTACGTTTCAGAAAAAAAAACCAAAACCATGAATAAGATGTATAGTGATTCACAAAAACTCTCTTCCAAAAATATTGTGGAAGACAAAAGGGAAGAAGATGATGATGAAGAAGAAGAAGAACAAGAAAAAGGAGCAGAAGAAGAAGAAAAACGAGATGAGGAAGCTGAGGAAGAGGAAGATGATGAATCCGAGACAGAAGAAATGTTGTTAAAAGATAAAATACCTTGTACACATGAGGTAACTATGACCCATGGTACTAAAGCAGTTATAGCTATTGCTGCAGATCCATCTGGTGCACGTCTTGCATCAGGATCCATCGATTATGATGTTTGTTTCTGGGATTTTGCTGGTATGGATTCTTCCTTAAGAAGTTTCCGAACTTTGCAACCATGTGAAAATCATCCGGTCAAATGTTTACAATATTCTACTACTGGAGATGTAATATTGGTTATATCAGGAGCAGCACAAGCTAAAGTATTAGACAGAGATGGTTTTGAGAAATGTGAAACTGTAAAAGGTGACCAATACATAACTGACATGGCACGTACAAAGGGTCACACTGCTGGATTAAATTGTGGATGTTGGCATCCATTTAACAAAGAGGAATACTTGACCTGTTCGCAGGACAGCACTTGTAGAATTTGGTTGTTGCATAGACCACGTGGTCATAAAAATGTTATCAAATGTAGAGCACAAAATGGTGTTAAAACAATTCCAACTACCTGTAGTTATAGTCGAGAAGGAACCGTAGTAGCATGTGGATGTATTGACGGTTCCATACAAATGTGGGATCATAGAAAAAACTTTGTCAGTCCATCCTTGATATTAAGAAATGCTCATGGTTCTAATAACGAAATATCCAGTTTAAGTTTTTCTTATCTTGGACAAACATTGGCGACTAGAAGTTGCGACGACACGTTGAAATTATGGGACTTGAGATCATTCAAAGTACCAATATTTGAGGTTAAAGATTTATTTTCTCGATACGAAACAACCGATTGTATGTTCAGTCCAGACGATTCTATGGTAGTTACCGGAGAATCATTAAGAAAGGGTCAAGAAATGGGTAAAATTTTATTCTACGATACTAAAACATTTGAACTGGTTAATGAAATACCTGTTACCAATTCGCACGTTATCAAAACATTATGGCATCCTAAATTAAATCAATTATTCGTTGGTTGTGGAAATGGTACAGTTAAAGCTTATTACGATATCAACAGAAGTATGAGAGGTGCTAAATTATGCGTCGTCAAATCTCATTTCAAACATAAACACATGGAAGTAATGTCAACCCAACAAATAATTACACCACATGCATTGCCACTCTTTAGACAGGACAGACCTAAATCTGTTAGAAAACAAATGGAAAAGGATCGTCTTGATCCTGTTAAATCCCGACGTCCAGATTTACCGATTACTTCTGGTCAAGGTGGAAGAGTAGCATCATCCGGTGGTACATTAAGTTCTTATGTTATTCGTAATCTTGGACTCAGTAAAAGAATAGAGGATGATCAGGATCCTAGAGAAGCAATTTTGAAATTTGCGAAAGTTGCTGAGGAAAATCCATATTGGATAGCACCAGCTTATAAAAGGACCCAACCAAAAACCATTTTTCAAACCGATGAACAGGAAAGTGGTCCAAGTAATAAGAAACCAAAATCATAAATAAATTTGAATTTAAAATTCTGAATAATATCATGTAAATATTTATAATTTAAGATATGGAAATAGATGTACTTTGTTTTATGTCAAAGTAAAGTGTAATGAATATTATATATATTATATATTATTGTTTTATAATATACTGTATTATTTATCTCCTTATTAAAAAAAAAAAGACATTATTATTATAAATAGAAAAAGAAATTGTACGTTGGATGTAACATAAAATACAATTGAAATAAACAAACCTGAAGTTAGGTTTTAAAGGTATATCCCTGTTTTAGGAAGTTCAAAAAAGAAATGATTTTTTATTGTTTAAATTTATTCCTAATATATCTAAGATTATTTATGTAAAATTATATAAACCAATTTACAGTATTTTCGAAAATACAGCACTAAATGTGGTGAGGCGTCGAGCAGGTTACACAACGCTCGGACAACTGTTTTTTCAAATTTAAACAAAATTCTAAATTTCACAATAAGTTTAGGTTTTTTTTAGTTTGTTTAGTAGAGAAATGTTTGAAAATTAACATTTCTTTTGGTTTTTTCATTTCAAACGAATTTATCCAATAGCAAATACGAGCTGTATCTTTCCCGCCAAAATTGGAGATGGCGATTAGGAGATGCTGCACAAACACATCCATAAAAGTCAACTGCTTTTCAACATTTAATTGAAAAATCTGTATTGATATATTCTCAAGAGTACACTTGACTGGTTTCTTTCTCTCTATCCCCAAAAAATCCTTTAAAAAACGTTTATGTAAGGCCCCATAATCATTTCAAATGTGTATTAAATGACAATCAAACACAAAAATGACACCATCTAGCGACCAAACTTTTTTTCAGATTATTTTTAGGAAATAACGTTTATGCGTCTCTATGCACGTGGGTTTAAGGTTTATGCGTCTCTATGCACGTGGGTTTAAGGTTTACGCGTCTCTATGTGCTCTGTTTGAATATTTTCAAAAACTCTAAATTTTGATTTAAAAAAATGCAATTAAAATTGTTTTTAATCGCAGCGGCATGCGATAATTTAGGAATTGGCATAAATGGAAATTTGCCATGGAATTTAAAGTAAGTTTTTTCATTCCTATAATAAAAGTTCACATTTTTGGACTACTATAACCATATTATCTTATCATATTTTATATTTAGAACCGAAATGGCATATTTTTCTCGCATGACGACAAAGACAAACAATGACAATAAAAAAAATGTTGTATTAATGGGTAGAAAAACCTGGGATTCTATACCACCGAAGTATAAACCATTGAAAAATCGTATTAACATGGTTTTAACGAAACAATCTCTGTAATTCATTTTCCAACATGATGATAATCAACACATTGTTGACCGGTCACGAGTTAACTCGTGTTTTTACAGCCGAACGTTACTGATTGATTACGTATTAACTCGTGATGCGCTTTTTTTCGTGTAATTGCGGTTTTTATCGATAGATGACTTTTTAAAATCAGCAATGATTTAGTTGCCAACCGGTGACATGAGTTAAATTTAAACAAAAACAAAAAAATGACCGGTCAACGATGTGTTGAAACTTAAAATGAAACTTTTTTAATAAATAATTCATAAATGTTTTAAACAACATTTTTAGAAACTTTGGATCCGATGCGATCCCTTGTAAAAGTATTACAGATGCATTGGATATTATATCTCAACCACCATTATTAGAACAGGTGGACAAAGTATGGGTCATTGGTGGAAGTTCCGTTTACAAAGTACATTTATCAACAATTTTGGTTCTTTGAGTTTCTTTTTCTTTTCTTCTTTTCCTCTTACAAAATTTCTATATTTTCATCAGAGAGACCAAGATATGGGTCATAGGTGAAAATTCTATTTACAAAGTATATCTATACACTTTTTCTTTTAACCCTTATTAGGTTTATTTATACAGGCCGCATTAGAATCACCGTATTTTCATCGTTTGTATCTCACTAAGATAAAAAAGCATTTTGATTGTGACGTATTTTTTCCACAACTGTCAACCGATTTTGTACAAGTCAAGTAAGTAACTTTTGTCTCACAATATCTTTTCAAATATAAATATAAAAATGATTTTATTTAGGGATCCCAATGTTCCTGATGGAATTCAAGAAGAAAATGGAATTCAATTTGAGTATAAAGTTTATGAAAAGAAGAACTGAAATGTATGTAATTTGTAGCAAGCTGTTAATGGCGAACAAAATATGAATTGAAGCACAAATGCTATTATAATTTTTCATAAAAATAAGATAACAATGTAGCATATATCTAATAAAATGAAATATATATATATATATATTTTTATATCATAGAAATAAATTGTTAACGTATTATTATGTTCGATGATTTATTAGGAATCAAAAAAAAAATGGTTATAACGTATTGTTTTAACAAATCATTCAAACTGTAATATGTATCAGATCAAACAATTAGAATTTTGTTAACCTGGAGGCCATTGCATTTGTCTACCACCGAGTACATGTAGATGCAGATGAAACACCGATTGTGCACCATCCTTTCCATCATTAACAACCATACGAAAACCATTATCCAAACCTTCTTGTTTAGCCACTTTTCTTGCAACTAACATTAAATGTCCCAACAAAGCTTCATCCTCGTCGTCGGCTTTAGACAATTGGGGAATTGGTTTTCTTGGGATTACCAAAAAATGTACAGGAGCTTGTCCATTGATATCATTAAATGCAACACACTAATTAACAAACAAATACAGATCAATCAAGAATTTATGAACAATGATGTATATGTATATATATATATACAGATAATAAATAAATAATAATTATTTATTTTATAAATTATTCGATAGATTACCTTATCGTCTTCGTAAATAAAGTTGCATGGGATTTCTTTACGCAATATTTTTCCAAATATTGTATCACCACCGGGAGTGGCAGATTGTGCTTTTTCCACTTCGGTCGCCATTTTTCTTTTCAACGTTGAGTTTATCGATAATTTGACACTCGAATAAATGATACGTTTAGACGAATTTAATGCTAAATTTAAGAATAACATTTTTTACAGATATTCTTTCCAATGAAATGCGCATTTACCAACTAACTGTAATTTAAGAATCACTTTATATTTACGAACTTATCAGCAAGTTCGCAAATACAAAAATTAAATGGCTGATTATGAAATGTTGGCGCCAAATTTGGTATACTCTCTAATCAAAAATATATTACACAAATAAAATTCATAATTAGTGAATGTAATATTAAAGATTAAAATTATAAATAAATATATATTACTATAAAGTTGTTAATTTAATAGTTTACAAAACTATAAAATGTATTTTATTCTGTTATACAGTCTTTTTTTTTTCTAACCTTTGTAATAAAAACATTACAATATCTTATCTTAGATGTATATATCGCTAATTTGTATACATATTAATAGCAAATATTTTACATAAGATTACATTTTTTAATATTAATATTAATATATCTAAATTCTTATTAACAGTTACATGATATGGCAGTGTCTTTTCTGGTCTTTTAGGAAGATCCTAAATCTTCCATAATGATTCTAATAGGTCTTAATAGACCCCAGTCTTATCAAAATTATTCTATTGTATAACATATATTTAAGTATATTATTTAAACGAAGTAATAAACTACTTATCTCGAAGAATTTGTCACTTCATTCAAAATACAGAATCAATTATGTCTTTGTGTTATTTTTTTTTCTTCTTTTTTTTTTTTAGAAAATATCTTAACTTAAACACACACATTAATTATGAGTTGCTATAAGAAATACCTTTTTTTAAATACTATACGTTATAACTACTGTATAATAAATTGATAGAGATTAAAATAATATGTGATAACTAAGCTCAGATTTTGTATACACTGTAAAATTATTTTTAAACTTTTGTTTTTTTTTTTATAATATAAGACTAAAAATAATTTTGAATATTATTAGAACTATATATATATATATATAGATAAATAAGATTCCATAGAAATAATTCTATCAGTCTAAACATATACTTCTCTGCTTTGATAAACAATAAGACATAAATTTATGATGTTTGATTTGCAGTGAAGTATCTGTGCCTTAAAGCTTGATAAGCTGTTAAACGATAATGAGGATTGAACGTAAGCAACTTTTGTAAAAGATCTAATCCACTTTCAGCTAGATTAGGTACTACTTCACCCAAAGGTTTTGGTCTTCTATAAGGAAATGCATTCCAACCAAGGGATACGTTTTCAGGCCACTCTTCTATTCTTGGAGTACCAATAATTCTAAAATATCACATACAAAATGTATACAAAATATATGATATAGGTTATATTCTCTATTAAATTAAATAATAATTATAATTAAACTTACTGAAAAATTCTATCCAATTGGTCGCCTTCACTAGTACCTGGAAATAATGGTTTCAACTTACTAATTTCAGCTAATATACAAGCAGCTGACCACATATCTACAGAAGATGCATACGAGCAACCTAATAAAACTTCTGGTGCTCTATACCATTGAGTTACAACCTATATAACAAAATAAAATCTATAGAAATTAAAGTAATCATTTAATTTATAATCAAAACTGTATATATATATATATATAAGGAAAATTGAAATTACCACAGAAGTTAAAACCATGTCAAAGGAATATGTTTTAGCTAAACCAAAATCTGCAATTTTGATCCTTCGATCTGAGGTGACTAATAAATTTTGTGGCTTCAAATCCCTGTGTATAATTCTGTGACCATGTAAAAAATCAATGCCAAGTAGAATGTCCTTGAACATTCGTTTAACAACGTTGGGAGGTATACCTGTCTCTGAACATGATGATATATAAGATGCCAAGTCTTGTTCAACATGTTCAAAGACTAACCAAAGAGTTAAGCTTTCTTCTAATGCGTCTTCTATAACTTCATTGAAAGGTAAGACACTTTTTTGACGTTTGCCTTGACAAACGTCCAATAATCTGACCTAATGAAAAGTTATACATTTAGAAAAACAAATGAATTTCAATAAAAGGTTACAAATTGAATCAAAGTACTTACGATATGTGGATAATCAAGTCTTTCGAGTTGTTTCAAAGTTGAAATTTCTCTAACTGTAGACGTAGGTAATCCATCAATACTCAATGGTATTCTAACTTTTTTAAGTGCGACAACTTGACCGGTATTAGAATCTCTTGCTTTGTAAACAGTACCATAGGCACCATTACCAATATAAATTAATTGTATGTATAATGCGTGATCACCTATTAAAGATGATTGCATATTTACAGTAGAATTCAATGCGACGGCTTTCATGTCTGATGTTTCTTGATTGCTATTATCTTCGTCTGAATTTATATCAGATATTTCTCTTATACCTGATGGTCCTGCTATTGCTTCCTCTGTTGGATTTGTACGGTTTTTTTTTTTAAATAAAATATAATTAATAATCATAATGTATATCACAAATATAAATCAATTGAAATATTATACCTTCAATAGATTTATATGATTCTTCTTCAGTGTCCTTAGGTGAGTGTAATGTTTCGTTACTTTCCAAACTTTCTTCTTCCTTGACTGTGTCAACTTCTTCTTCTTCAGCTAGTTCCAACAACAATCTAGATCTTTTCGAATTCCTAGGAGGTGAGAAATCCGGTCCGAGCTCAGAGCTCGGACGTCTAGGTCTTTCCGCCATCACCACATTTTGCCAATTTTCTGAAACACCCCAATAATATTTTATTTATTGTACATAACATAGTTTATGTTTGTAGTGTGCTACCATTAACAAGGTCTTAGGAAACCCAAAGATTATACCCAACCAACAGTAGCGCTACAAATACTCGATAAACTGTCAATGTTTCTTAATAGACTCAACAGTAATATTAACTGTGTTTGGCAAAGAAAATATTGGCAAACATTGAAGAATACCGCTGGATCTTCAAAAGTACTTGTTCAAAAGTATTTGTCCAATCACCCGCAAAAATCACCCGTGTTCTATTGAACTCAGTGAATACCTTCAAAACAAGGCAAGCGTAAAAACCAACCCCAAAGATTATACCCTAGTAGCAACAAATATTGAATACATGTGCATTTAATATTAAAAAGATATTTAATGTCTTTTTAAATATTAATTACACTTACTTTATTACACAATTAATTATAAATACAAATGTATTCAATATTTTGTACTACTAGGGTATTTACAAATTCTTAAAACTAAAAATACAAAGTACAAGAAGAAATAGTTTTCATTTTGTTTATGAGACTTTACAAAGATGTTTAAGAATGAAAGATTTATTATAGAAAAAGAAATTATAAATAATAAAAATGAAAGGAAATACAATTTACTTGCTGATGAATATAACCAGTTCCTATTTTATGGAGAAAAGTAAATAACATTTTCTACAATTCTAGAAAAACCAAAATTTTTCCTCTCTCTTTTTTTTTTCTTTCAAGTTAAACAATGAAAATGTCGTTTGTATATATATATACAAGAAAAGAAATAAACTATACGTATATACACTTCTGCATGTATATACGTTGGCACACACCGTCTGTTTCGTGACATCTGCATGAACACCTGCGTTCGTATAATGGAAGGAACCCTCGTGTCGCCCTTCACCGTCTTTCCGAAACACATCTTGTAAAACGTAATGAAACCCTTATATACATATATATATATATACCAATACGAAACTTTCTTTAGTCCTTTGTCTAACACCAATGTGAAATTTTATATTAGTATATATTTTTACCTTCTCAGAACATCCGGGCTAAATTCTAATTTGAAATGGGGAACATTATGGGAACGAATATGGGGGAAGAAAACAAAAACAATTCAATTCAATTGAATTCAATTAAAAAAAAATGTATAAAAAGAAATGTTGATGAAAGAAGGAAGAACTTTTCTAATTAATGTGCGATTAATTAATGCAATAAGAATTTAAAAAGTGGTGATATGCAATGTTACTTCATTTTTTATCTAAGGTCAACAAAAGTTGAAAGTTAAATAAGAGTAAATATTTTTTAATAGAGATAGAAATTGATATTCCCCTACCCCCTCCAACTTAAAGAAAAAAAAAAAAAAAGAGTAAAAGGTTTTAACATCTTGGCACGGAAATAATTTATAAAACAAAATTTCTGAGAAAACATGTAATCTCATTTTGATTAACATTTTTTTTTATTTTTTTATTATTATTATTCTTTTCTTATAAAACACACACACGTGTGTGTGTCAATTCATTGAGTGTGTTAGTCTCAACGTATAAGAAGTGGATTTTTTATTAATGAAAAAATATCGCAACGAGCGGAAGAGCAGGAGTGGGGGGTTTAAGGTTAGAGTGGGGGGTTGTTAACGATACTACGATATACAATAAAATGTTGCAAAGTGATAATTAGAATGTAATCTTTCTTGTGGTCCCCAAAGTTTGTTCTTTTGACTCAATTAAATATATTAAATGTTTTTATTTTCATCTTCTTTTTTTTATCAGCTTCCTCTCGTGATAAAACATGGCGGAGAAAAAAAAAAGAGAGAGAGAGAGAGAGAACGAAAACAAGAAGTTTATACGAGGAGTCATAATGTGAATAAAAAAAAAAAGAAATGAGAAATAAAATAACTCACTATGAGTGTGGTTGAATATCATACTGAAGAAAGATCACGACTATGAATTTACACTACGTGCTTTTGGGTTCAAACAAGAAAATGCAGGCGCTAGGGGGAAAAAAGGTGTTAAGAAAAAAAACAAAAGGAAGAAAGAGAAAAAACATGCAACAATTTCAACAACAACAAAAAAAAGGAAGAATGGAAGAAGAAGAAGAAGAAGAAGAAGTGGGGATAGCGCCTTCTGAGAACAGTATCCGTGCATCCGGGGGACTTTTTCTACTCGGAATGCGAGAGAAAGAAAGAAAGAGAGAGAAAAGTTGCAGTGGGAGTAAAAGAGAAGAATGGAAGTGGAAGGGAAGGACGAAAGATTGCTTGGTAGGAGGTAGAGAAAGAAAGAAAGAAAAAAAAGAACGGAAAAGTGTTTGAAATCTAAAGAGAAGTTAAAAGAAACCTAAAACTAACGATTTAATACATGATACATAAAAATATAATTATTTCTCGCATGGTATTATCACGATACAGTTTTTATTTTGACTAACGAAGTTAGTTTTCAATGTTTTATTCAAATGGTGAAAGAATTATTCGTGAAGGATGATAATAAATTAAAAAAAAATTTGAAAGTTTTGGATAGTCACATTTTTTTTCCGCTGACTTTCGTAGTAAAAGAAAATGGCGTCCTTATTCTAATACTTTCTTCCTCCATTCTTTTTCTCTTTTACTCTTTTTTGTTTCTTTTTGTTTTGAAACTTTAGGATACACATAAACAAAAAATTATATTTTTCTTTGAAAAAAAAAAGTTAAATAATTAATGTTAATGTTAATGTTAATGTTAATTAATGTTTAAAGTAAAAGAAACCTAATCGATATAACCAAACTTTAACCAAAATAAATGTTGAAAAATTACCCAACCAAATTATATTTGGTATCCCAAGTGACAATCCTATATATAATATGTATATATATGTAATATGTATTAACAAATAATTATTTTATTATATTTATAAACAAAATATTGATTTAAAAAAATAAAATTGCCATTAGAATCGTTCAAATCTCGCGCGTTTGATTGATAGTCATCAAAAGATTAATTTATCTGAAATACACATACGAATAGAGTACACGTATATACTTGACAGATGAGATGATCAACGAGTACACACGTGCGCGCGCGCGCGCACTCATTGTGTAATACAACCTGAAAAAATATACCGAAACGATGAATGAAGAAGAAAAATAGAAACAAAAGGATTATTGGATACGAGATGAAAAAGCTCAACATTGTAAAATCATAAATTTGCTTTTATAAGATCGAATTTACGGAATATCAGCTGACATTGTACCCACCCACCCACACATACATACACAGTTGTGAAGAAGAACATTCGTTAATTTCACGGTGCTTAATGTAGGCCAAAATTCATACTGTTATCAAAACAAAAGCCGTTCACCGTGGATCCTCTTCCCCTGACCCCACCCTCTTTCAATCTTTTACTCCCCTCTCCTACCCCCCCTATCACCGTAGAAACAAATAAGAGATTTGTATCGTTAATGAATACATACATRCACACACATAAGTATGCATAGTTTAGCGACGTATGACAATTTTCGTAAAAAAAGGTTTTTTCTTTTTTTTTTACATCCGACATCTTTGTAATCTCTTCAAAGTGATAATTTAAGTTTAAATATACGTCATTGACCGATGACAACGATTAAATCTTTTTAATGTTAGATTTTGAGACAATCATCAGCATGATCGTTTGAAAATTAAAGAGGGAGGGTTTAAATATTTAATAAAGGTTTTCTAACCTTAATTTTGATCCTTCTTTTAAAGGAAATCAATATTGAATGAAATATATTTATATGTATAAATGTGTATCAATACTTTGAAAGCAAATGTAGTCTTTCACTTGACTCAATTTGATTGGTATCATTTGTTCAATACAACATTTGAATGATTTAAATAAATGGGTTGATATAAAATAATACTTTAAATATAATATCTTATTTATTTTATCGAATATATAAATCGTTTAAATTCTAAATACGTTTAGAGTTCTAATTACCAACGTGTGAACGACAAAACGTTATCATCGAATAACGATAATCGTGGAATGACAAAAAGAAAAAATATGGCGTCGAGTATCTCAATAGCGTCGGGCGGGAATTTTGAAAATCACAAAAAAAAACAAAAGAAAAATTTTACTTTTCTATCAAGTATTCCGCCATTTTTATTTTTTTTTTTATTTTTTACTAACCTGTCATCATTGACACATACTAAATACGATTCTAAGTAAGTATAAATAAGTTTGTATACAAAATAAATGCTGATGTGTGTGTTAACGTAATAACAAGACGGTTATTCCCAAATATATACCGGGTGTCTTCCACGTAAAAAGAAAAACTTATTGTAATTTGTAAATATGAATAAGTTTGTACGTGTAAAATAAATGTTGATGTGTGCATTACCGTAATAACAAGACGGTTATTCCAAAATATACCGGGTGTCTCTCTCACGAAAAAAGTAAAACTTAATGTATTGTCGAAGTTTATATTTTCTTTTTTCTCACTTATGGCTATGAAACACTTACAATTAGAAGGGGACGAAAAAATGAAACTAGGCACAACCCAGCCGTGACAAAACGAACACAGCGTACCACCGGAAATGGATATCGTCGTTCTCTTTCTCTCTCTCTCTCTCTCTTTCTCACTTTCAAAACAGATCACACGAAATTCAAAACTAAGGTAATTGGATTCCAAATATCATTTAAAGATTCAAACCGAAACATGATGGAGGAACTTAAATTGAATAATAAAACACTAGGATGACACACCCTTTTGGTTTTTTTAAAAAACCCCAATCCTTAAAAAAAATGATTTTCAGTATCATTTGAAAGAATATGGACAAATAACTTGAAATGTTTTTGAAAAAAGTGTGTGTAAGCACAAAGTTATTGTGCTTGGGGGGTCGTCAGAGAACTTGAGAACTTAAAGAAAGAAAGAGAGAGAGAATGAGAGAGAGCTGCCGGCCATGGGCCGGCCGCGTGCTCGACGGGACGTCGAACTTGAAACTACGCCACCGGTTTTTCGTGATCGAGTTTTATAAGAAGAAGGAGAGCCCATGTCCGATGACTATTACGAATCATCATCATCATCATCATCATCATCAGATGACGAATTCAACGCGTCTCTTACGTGGAAACTACTTTAAACTATTTTTCTATAATATTCGTCATTTTCTTATTAAAGATACATATATATAGATAGAGAAAGAGAGAGAGAGAGAGAGAGAGGGAAAATGATTCACATCAAACGATCAGCTGTGACCAACACACACACACACACACACACAACACGCTATTCGTTACTTTCTCATAAAGATCGTTAATTTTTCTTAGAACGAAACTTGTTAGCCTTTTTTGTGGTTCTATTAAAAATTTCCAAAATAAAATAACAAAAAAATATATATATACGTTGAAGTATTGAATACCTCACCGATTTGGCATTCCCTTTGATCCCTCCGTTCTTATTCGCGTTAGTAGCACGATTATTGTACTTCTTAGGATCGTAGGCAGCCATATTTAAATAGAAAAAGGTACACACCAGCAGTGACAGAGAGACAGAGACAGAAAGAAAGAGATAGAGATAGAATGATAGAAAGAAAAAGATAGAGAAAGGAAAACACACATACACACAGAGATATATATATACACACACATACACACATACACACAAATAGTAAGCAGAAGAGACAAGAAGTCAAACACAGACAGACAGACAGACAGACAGATAGACAAATCGTAGAACCTTTGACACTTTACCCGAGTCTCTTACACGATTCGTGAATTTGTAGTAGGGTTTTTGTTTATTCCGCGCGTTGTTGATGAACTCTAAGTTGACAAATTCTTTTTTGAATTTGTTGATAAAATCGCAAAATGAAGTTGTTCTCTTTCTCTCGACGTGGCGACGACGACGACGACAACGACGACGACAACGACTCGATCGTGTAAAAGTAAAGAGGTTTTGAGTAGACGGAGAGACGACGAGGACGACGTTTTCTTCCCGAGGGCGGAGCACGAATGGAAGGAAGTGGGGGGAACAGGACCGATGCGTTAGTCTCGGGCCCGTAGAAGGTGCTTCGTTAGCACTGACGTTAGGACTTTAAAAGGGCCCTCTTTACTACTCCTCTTCAAATTTTTTACCTTTCCCTCTCTCTCTTTCTTTCATCTTCTTCATTTCAACAAATACATTTTTGTAACATTTTTCAGGAAGACTTTGTTCGATTTTTGATCAAATCATGTTGTTAAGAAAATTGTCAATGAGAAAAATGTTCATCGGTCAAACAAATCAAATCCTGCCCCCTCTGCCACGTGTTTTATTGGGTTGTACGGAAAGTAATCGAATTGTTTCCTGACCCAATAAAGGGCATGAGTTGATGCAAACCGGCAGGGAGATTGGTGAGAGGTTAAATTGATCAAATTCAACTGTTTATACTCACCTAAACGGCCTAAGTTTAATCTCGCAGAGAAAATTGTCTTCATTTTCATAAAAGTTAGTTTCTGAAACAACCCAATAAGAAGAACATTTAGGAGACTGTCCTATTTGCATGTAAGAAATGTCAAGTAGAAGATTAGAAAGAGATAATAGAAAAGGTATGATGTGAACAAATAATTCACCAAGTCAATAGAAGTCCTCACGTGTTATTTCTAACCCCTAAGAAGATGTTGTTGAAGTGTGATGTTATGTCCTTCTATTGTTACGTGGCATCTACTGCTGCTGCTGCTACTCTGCTGCTGCTGCTGCTGTTGTTTGCTGATCACGAATAGTTTAACTGGACACGCATCGATGACGAGTCTAGACGAATATTATATCCCGCGGCGTTAGTAAAACCATGATGACGATATTTAATTTTGCAAAATATATGAACAAATAAATAATAGTCTACTTTTGCTAGTTTTATTTGTTCCTTGCCCTCAAAGTGGTCTCGTGTGTGTTTTTTAAATTCCTTTTTTTTAATATACACTTACAAACAAACGATTGACAACTGTGTTGCGCGTAGCACACGGTCTCGAAACATGAATGGAAATGCTTCTTTCGATTCGTTGTGTACAAGAAGTATATGTGTGTGTGTGTGTGTATTTGTATTGCTAATATACACACACACACACAGAAATAAGAGATAGGAGAGGAGAGTAGAGGAGAAGGAAATAGAAGAGTAAGGAAAGAAGCACAGAAGAAGACTGTTCTGGAATTGGGTAGGAGAAATTTGTCGGTCAGATCAGGGCCGGGACTATTAAACATAGGGCCCTTTCAAGGGCTTCTTTAAGGGCCTATCTATTGTATTAACTTTATACTCATGCTACGTGCTTATATATTTCTTTCATCACTTTTTTTTTTCTTTTTGTTTACTATGGGAAATAATTTTCTATGCAAAGAGCAAAGAAAAAAAAAGAAGAAAAAAAAAAATGCTAAAAACCCTAGTATTAAGAAATGTAGATAACAGGATGGAAAGTATTCTTAACCAATCGGATTTATTCTTTAAACTATAGGCGGGTAATTTGGAATAGAATAAATAGATCACTAATATGACAAAAGTGAAGATGATTTTCTAATTGTAATTCAACATTTGTTCTAACAAAAGGAAACAATGTTCGTAACATTTCTATGAGATTTTGGTTCAAAAGTAATTTTGTAATGTCAGGACATCGTAGGGGTAAAAAATAGGGATGAAAGGAAAGAAGGGAAGGGTTGTTTGAATTAATATGAATCATAGATTTTCTTAGTATGAACAAAGTAGACAAGTTATGAGATTATATATCGATCGTTATCATGGTTGAACGTATAATTCCTTATCATTTTGAAAATAGTGGACGACACACGTGCAACATGCATGTGACTAAAAAAAAAAAAAAAAAAGGGACAAAGATAAATAATACATTTCTTCTATTTTGATCTAACGTAGAAAACTGATAGAAAAAATGTCCTAGGAAAATGTAAAAAATAAAATCTTTTTCTTCATAAATAATTGAAATTTTCTCAAAGTTTTTCATTCTTTCCTTATGTTTATTCGTGTGTGTGTGTGTGTGTGTATATGTGTGATTTTTTTGTTGGTCTTGTCATTTACGTTTTTTTTCCAAGAGACAAATGTAATTTAAAATCATGAATTCTAAAGGAATATATATATATATGTTATACTGTATAAATGTTTCGTTTTCTTTAAGTTTACTTTGTAGTATTATACTAGTAAAATTCCTTGTAAAACATAATAAAACTTAGGTGACTGATTCATAGATTAATCGAACATGTTTAAATACATAACTATGAATCGTCGGTAAATTATCCCGTCATATCGTCATACTATGATTCGTTCGATGAATAGAATTACTTTCCTAAATTTTTTAGGAATATAAAAAAACATTATAATATATAATTATAATTTAATTTTATAATATTATTTATAATATAATTTATAATATAATTATAATTTTGTAATGAAATAATTTCAAATTAAATAATTCCCAATTTACAATTATTATTAAATATTATAAATTTTTAATATAGAAAATAATATATAAATTATAATATAATTATAATTTTTTAATTAAATAATTTGTAATTTATAATTATTATTAAATATACCAATTTTATTATTGTTATTTAATATAAATAAATATAAACATAAATAACTAAATCAAACAAATACGTAAATCTAAATCACGTTTTATAATTATTATTTAATATATCGCAGTTTAATTATTATTTAATATTAAAATACTAATTTCTTTTTATTATAACAATTTATATCCAATGTTGTTTATTAATTGTGTTCTTATGTTGGTCATCAAATGACTCGTAAAACTATGACAAATGTATTTTATAATCAATTCTTTATGCACCCATATGTTTACGTAGTACACATATGTTTCTTCAAATATGGCGGAAAGATGCACTCAAGTGTCTTTCCCTTATTGGATTCTGTGCTCTACATCTTTCATAAAGAAAGAAAAAAAGAAAAAAAGAAAAAGCCAAGAAAAAAAGAAACAATCCCGAACCGAATTAGCTAAAAATAGTTCTGACTTTTTAAACTATACCATAAACGTCGCCATATTTAATCTGTACAACGGTAGTCAGTTGTTGTTCCATCAAATTCTATTTGTTACAAGGATAACTGTAAAAAAAAAAACCTTTCAAATCTATTAATTAATATTAAATAATAATTAATACATATATTTTTAACTTAAAATGTTTAATATTATTTATAATTATCCTTGAACAAAAAAAAAATCTATTAAAATGTCGTATACATTTATGGTTTGGATGGATTCATTTAACGCGTTTATAAATAAAAATAAATATTAAATATTGATTTACATATATAAACGTAAAATTTGTTAAAAATTATTTTCAATTTTTTTTTTCATGTTTAACAATTAATTATTAATTAATTTTAACGCATTTTTTAATAATTACTTACCGAAAAATCGAAGTGACGATATTGATGTTAGATAAGAAGAAAAAAAAAAGGAAGGTTAGGATTGTCAAAGGGACCTCGTAGGAATAATCGAAGTTTCCTTTTCAACTGAAAAACATTATGTCGAGTTCAACACCAAATGGCTTCCTTTCCCTTCGTTCCCTTTCTTCCTTCCTCCCTTTCCGACCTTTTTGATAGCTTATGCGTTCCTTGAACCAGTTACTGCTGCTTCTGCTTCTGCTGCTGCTGCTGTTGTGTTAGATGTGTCTTCAATTTCAGCAAAGTAGACTTCAGACTGGTTTCTGCTCAATTTGGTTGCCATACCTCACTGCACCATCATCCTTCACCATATTGTTCAATCAGCTTTAGAATGAAAATAGGAAAAAAAGAAAACCGTATCGAGTGATCGAGTTGCACAGGAAATCACCATAACCTTCTATAAATATTTATATTATTAGTGTACCTTTTTACATACCTTTTTTTACTTTGGATCAATTTTTAACTATTTATAAATTAATTTTTTATGAATTATTTAAACAATTTTTTTTCGTAAAATGAGATATAAATATAACCTTTTCGATCACGTGTTCATTGGTTGTATTAATGAAGAATAAATATCTGTTGTTTAATAAAACTTTTCTTTTGTTAAATTTGATTAGGTTTAACTTTTGTTTTGCATTAACACCCTTTTTCGAATTAATAATTTTTTTTTTTTATACAGGTAATTGTAGTATCGTTATTGATTTACCATCTGTAGGTAAGTTTTTCTTAGTAATTATACAAATTATTGTATAAATTATTTTTATAATGTATTCTATTTTTTGTTTTAAATGCTTTTGTTCAATTATTTTAATTTTATTATCAATCTTTAATAGATATCAATCTATAAGTTATCAATAATTTTAATTACCGACTGAGTTACTTACTGTAACAGTAAAATCCTATAAAAATATTATCGACAGATAATACTGACTGAAATTGTCTACGTAGAGTATGACATGTTGCCTAAGTTCAGGTGTAATATTTTAATAACCTTAAAAATGATTTAAAAAAAAAGAAAATCATCTAAAAATTGACGTAAACGAAGTAACGATAATTTGATAACAAAAATTACAAAGGATCATTTTTATCATAACCAAAAAAAAAACAAAAATAATCAAAATAAATACCATTTTTTGAGATATAAAAATTATGACTTAATATAAAAAATAAAAATCACACGTTTTTTTCTTGAAGGAATATTTGTCATTAATAAAATAATTCTTATTGTTAAATATTCGAAGAAAAAAAAATAAAAAAAAAACAAAAAACATTGTATGAAGATTCTTTACATTAGTTTATTCACGTAGTAGAAAGAATCGACACTATCTATACCGTGTAATGGTTCATGGATACTTAAACAGAGTGCAAAAATCCGTTAGATAGTAGAAATGCGATTTTAATTCTCACTGCGCGCAGTTACAAGTTAGGTTTTGTTGTAACGAGGACACACACAGACAACACCTTCGTCAAAGTTTTTTTTAGAAAAAAAAAAAACAAAAAAATAAAAAAAAAAACAATTCGTTCAAGTATGGGCGTTGTGTTACCAAGAATGATACGTGAGGTAGATGATGATCAAAATGAATTTGTTCACAAATATTATACTACATTGCATCGAGAAAATTATGCGGCCTGTTATTGGGGCCTTAATTTTCATTCTTTCAACCATTTGCAATTTCAACCCGTTATTTTAACATCACACGAAACAACAGAAACAATTTGATAGAAAGTTTTGTCTTTTTGTTTTACTTTGATCGTTTGAACAATTCGTAAATGATTAAACAATGAGAAAACAATAAATAATATTTCTGTATAATATATGAACCGTATATTTAGAAAGTGGTATATAAGTCCATTTTTTCAAAAAAAAAAGAGAAAAAAAAAGAAGAGATATCATTTAATTCATGCTTAATTTAATGTAAACTTTTAATGTGTGGGTTACTAGTTAATAGTTTAATTTCTTAAATAGTAATTTGAATATATTAATAGTAAATATTAATAATAAATATTTTGTACAATTTAAAATTGGTTAGTAAAAGAAATTGAGTTGCAGAATTGATATGCAAACCTTTAATTTTCTCGAAACAAAAGCAAAAGGGCGCCTTACACAGCTTTCAAAATAAGCGGTCCACAGATATATTAGAAAAAAAGATTAAGAATTAGGTTATGTTAGAAACCAAAAAAAAAAAATATATATATATATTAAAAAAAAAAGATTAAAAATTAGGTTATGTTAGAAACCAAAAAAGAAACATATATATATATAAATATTTGAATTTTGATGATATTAATTCAACTTGCATTCCGTTATACTGAATCTTCCTAATTATTTTCTTAACGCGTTCATTTTCTTTTTTTTTTTTTTCTTCTTTTTACAACTAACGATAAGAAGAATTGAATGCAAGACGTGACGTGAAAAAAAAAAAGAAAAAAAAAAGAAAAGAAAATGAATGAATGCGACGATTTGATGAGAGAAAATTAAAACATTTAATTAATACTTTTCCATTATGTTATATACACAAACGTACAGAATAATTCTTTACTATGAGTGTGTTTACACGAACCCTTTTATGACGTTAATTGCACGAATTCATTAAAACGAACTAAAACAGGTTGAATAAGGAAGGTAAATGTCTCGTTAATCATTTTACTCATGGTAATTTAACGTGAAATAAAAAAAAGAATAATTATTGTATTATGATTATTATTAAATATTTGATCGATAAGATTGTACTGTTGAAAAAACTACCCTTATAAAAAAAAATAAGAAGTTCAACCCTTTAACTGTAAACGATTAAATTCTTCAAAAGTATTTTGAAAATGAGGTTGATTAATTTCAAATGGGTTTGCACATCGTTGTGTGTGTGTGTGTGTGGTTCTTTTTTATATAAATTAATAAAATATAATAAAATAATATAAATAAATATAATGAATCGTTAAATTGGTATTTTACATATTTACAGTTATTACAACAATAAAAATAGAATAAGTATTTTAGCAAATTAGTAGCACCCCATTTAAAAAAACAGATGACGAATTAGGTTATGTTAGAAGTTATATTTTTTTAATAATATAAATAAATATAATAAATCGTTAAATTGGTATTTTACATATTTACAGTTATTACAAAAAAAAAAAATAGAATAAGCATCTTAGCAAATTAGTAGCACCCCATTTAAAAAAACAGATGACGAATTAGGTTATGTTAGAAATTATATTTTTCTAATAATATAAATATAATAAATTAATAAATTAGTTCCCTTTCTCCCTATTTAAAAAAAAAAAATATTAAAAATTAGGTTATGTTAGAAGACAAACAAAAATATATACATATACATAACAATTAATTTTCTTTTTACGAATTGAAATATTTACCAGTAAAAATACGAGTCAGTTAAAGTAAAAATTGAAAAAAAAAAAAGATACAACTGGAAAAATCTCCAAAAAAAAAAGAAGATTACAGGTGAGAAGATAAAGATACCGAAAAATAAAAATGGAGGAAGATGAGTCAAAGGTAAATTGTAGTAAACTTCGAATGTTGTTTAGAAACGAGTCACTTCAAGAATACTAAGAAAAAGAATAGATAAAATGAAATGACGTTTTACGGGAATATTATAAACCCATGGAACACCATGGCGCGGCCCTGGAATAGTCAAGGTGGGAGAAACCGTGTATGACCGTCCTCATCGTCGACGGCCAGTACCGTGTGAACGACCGTGAAGTAAACCTCGAACTTAAAAACGTAAAAATCCGACCTTTACAATTTGTTTCATCAATCTCTCACACGAAAGGATGTAAAATACAATTTTAATTAAAAAATATAAAAAAAAAATAAAAAACCAATAAAACTAGAGCTAGTAATTTTCTACAAAACGGTGTTGTTCATTTGACATTTTAACATTTCAAAATATTCCCCCCTAAGAGAAAACAAAAAAAAAACCCTAAAATTTCAAATCATTTACAGTAATTCAGTTGACAAATCAAAAACACTGATAATTATTTCAAACAATTATTGTAAATTATTGTTTCAAATTTGTGTTTATAAAAAAAAATTTGTGATTTTAATTATTAAAAACAAAAAATTGTTGGAGTTTTAAAAAAAAGGGATCACATACAATAAAACAATAATAATAATCATCATCATCATCATCATAGAAGGTTCCTTCAAAAAAATTGTAGCAGGATGTAAAGAAGAAACAATAATACAAGAATAAGAAGAAAAATCAGAACAAGAAGAAGAAGATTCAAGAATTTATTGATAGCATATTAAGGGACGAAGAAAAAGAAAGAAAAAAGAAACAAAAGAAAAGAAAAGAAAAATTTAAAAAAAAAAGGTAAAAGGACGTTTCTTGGCCGAAAACTTGTGGGGGTTTTTTTTTACACCAGCAGACTGTTCCTTGGCAAGTAGGTCAAACGGTGTATTTGTGTGTACGTGTACCATATATATATATATGTGTGTGTGTGTGTTGTAAGACTGACTGAGAAAGAACAAAATACGTAAGAAAAAGATAGAAAGAGAGAGAGAGATAGAGAAAAAAAAAGGAAGAAGAAGAAGAGGTGGAAGAAAAAGGATACACCTGAGGAAAGGGAGAGGGGGGAGAGAGAGAGTGAGTGAGTAAGAGAAAGAAAGAAAGAAAGAAAGAAGATAAAAATAATAATGGCGGACGATGCTTGTGAAGTTGTGGTGTAGTAGTGTAAGTTCGACTGATGACGAGTTTCAGGCTCGTGATCCAAAATGGCGGCCCTATACCGATTACACGATTCCTTTCGCATAGACAATTTCATTGGATTTGATAAAACTACTTAAACAAACAAAAAAACAAACAAATCCTACCATTCATTGGGTTGACCTTGATATAACCAACGACCTTCTACAAGACGAAAACCAATATTCTCGTCCACCCCTTTTTTGTCCACCTCTTTCTTTTCTTTTTGTTTTGTTTTGTTTGTTTTGTTTTTTTGTTTTTTTTTTTGATGTCTCGAGAAGTGCATCGAGTAACAGGACGAAGAACAAACATGTCGGGATTGACCGGGTCCAAGGCCTTATCGGCCTTGACCATTCTCTTCGTAACTACCGGTAAGTTATTGCAATCGTTGCGGTTGAATAGATTTTGATCGAAAGCCATAGATCTTATGGGGAAATAGTTGTAGATAATATTTATTTTGTTTAGGATTTTGTTTATATTTGTATTATGTATATGAAATATTATTGTTTATTATTTTTTCTTTTAATTGAAATTTAGTAAGAATTTTATAGAGGAATTTTATATATAAGAGATGAACAAATTAAAAAATGCTGTTTATTCAAAAAAAAAAAAAAAAATACTATAATACAATTAATAAATTAGCTATAATGTGTGTCATAGCATAATTTTTATTATATTTTATATTATACAGTGTTAAATTATATATATATTAATTATTAATAATTAATATATATTAATAAAAATTATATGAAAAAAATACTGTAGTAAGTTTTACCTAAGTTAAGGTAAATTATACTTAATCTATTAGGTTAATTGTTTTTTGGTTTAATTTCATTTGGTTTTAGGTTAGTTTTAATTAGATTTTAGTAAAATTTTATAAAGGAATCAACGAAATAAGAAATACTATTACCAACAACAAAAAATACTCTACTATTATTTAATATTACTAGTATTATTTACTATAGTATTAAATAAAATAAAAAATAGTATAGTATTATGTAAAAATACTATAATATAATATACTATAGTAATTTTAATATTTTTAATAATAATAGTATTTTTAATATAGTATAATATACTATAGTATTTTTTATTTTATTTAATACTACAGTAAATATACCCCTAATAGTTAGATATATTAACCTAAGTTTACCTAAGTTTATTTATATTCTACCTAACCTATAAGGTTAGATATACACTTTAGTAGAAAATATTACATATATAATAAGAAATAAAAATTTGATTTACAATAATTTTAATAAATTATTTATAACGTATATTATACTTAACACTTTTAATTACATTCCACTAGAATTTTATAACAGAAACAAAACAAAATTTACATATATATATATATATTATTATAAATCATGAAAAAAAAAATTAAAGAAACAATTAATGAATCATTTATATTCAACGAAGTATAAAATCCTTGGCGAAATATAAACCCGTAAGTGGATCGTATCCGCATCCGGATAATCTGGCACAATGTGCGTACCGTCTCGAAAAAAAAAGGAAAAAAAAAAAAGACAAACACTTTCTATTCGTAATGACGATCATCTGACGATCATCTTACGTCAACGAATCATATATATAAAAATAGAATTAGAAAATAAATAATAATAATAATAATAATAATAATAAAATATACCTATGACGAATATTAACACTAAATATACCAGATCAGTCATTTTGATTCAAAATGTCTACTTCATGTAACATTTGATTTCTGTAAATAATTAAACGTTTTATTATTTAAAAATGTCTATCAATTCATTTATCTATAAAAAAAATTATTGTTAAACATTTGTTCATATTTTTTGAAGAATAAATTAAAGACTGAAACCTTCAAAAAGCATTTTTTTTTTATACAGTAGTCATTTTGACTAGTGTGGTATATTGAAAATGGTGGTATATCTAGTGTTAAAATCTAAACGAACAAAACAAAATCAAACAATAATCTTGTTCTTCAATAATATCGATTAAATATCTCGATAACCAAACAAATAAACAAACAAACAAGAGATATGCAAAATAGTTTATTGTTTTATTCGAACAAAAGGAACATTAGAAAGGAAATGCAATGGTTAAATGGAAGAGTCTCTTTAAAATGATGAGGTGAAAGCTGCATACGAACGTAAACCGTGTTTCTCTGAAGATTAGGTTCTTTTTTTTTTTTTTTTTTACTATACCCTGACTGACTGACTTACTCTCTTCTTATTCATAAAATGTTTAAAAAATAAAAAAAAAACATTTAAGAAACTTCTAACAATTCTCTATCAATATACACACATGTATTCATACACGCACGTACGCATGAATTCTAACCTAACCTAACCTAAGTTACCGTTTTTTTTTCTTCTTTTCCAAGCCCGTATGAGAAAAATAAAATGAAACGGTTTTATCTCATTGCAACATTGTTGTTTCGTTAAATATTTTCGAAAAGATTGAAATATCGATATGAATTTTTCTATATATATATGTGTGTACAATATTAAAACATAACATTCCAAGATTACAATTATCATAAATTAACAATTTCTACGTCATAATATTATTATACAGAGGGATGTGAGATCAACGACATTAAGAGAAACACGTATATCCGGAATCCGGGGTGGGGTGGGGGAAGGGGTTTCGTCATTCCACGACTTTCGCTCAACCGCATTAAACCATGAAAGTGTCACGAAATTGTACGACACACTACGCACCTGACAATATAACCTGTATATGTTACTTATACATGCATAAACTTTTATACAGTGCAATTGAACAAATAAGTACAAAGGATCAATATAAACTAAAAACTTTTGATAAATAATTGGAAAATAGTAGAATTTTATTTATGACAAAAAATACATTGCAATTAATAATAATTCGAATTGCACAAAGTATCAAAATACATCTGACATATTAGGGGGAACCAGAAAGTAATGTCATTTCTACAAATATCCAATTTTTTTAGATTTTTATCAAAAACCGATTGATTTTTAACAATTTGGTATTAAACATTTTGCGTATTAGATAAAAAAAAGGTTGTTGATAACAAAATGTGATTATAATATTAATTGAAAAATAAACATTTGGTAAAAATGTATTCTGAATTTAAGGTTAGAAAGCGCCATTACTTTACACCTAATATAAAAATGAAGAGTTCGTTTGTTTCTAACCTCTAATCTCCAAAAGTACTTTACCTTGATTATCTTAAAATGTTGACACAATGTTGCATTCGCATTCAACTAGGTTTTTATTACATTAATTTATTTAGAAAATAATTAATTAATTAAAAAGAGAAAGATAAAGGTACAAGGGTAAGTTCAGTGCCATCTGTTGATTATAGATTTTGGTAAATGCGCGAAACATTTGAACATAACCTAACTTTTATCTAATAAACTACAGTAACGTGTGATAGGGGAACAACTAATATATTAAAAAATAAAATAAATGGAAAGTAATATTATTTTTAGAATAAAACAAAATGAAGTTTATAAAATAGTAATCGAATATACAAAATGATACTATGCTCCTAGTTCGTGCATAACTTTTATAAATCTGTGGAGAATGATATCTGTCAATAAGAGATTGAGTTGACGAAGTTATCTGACACGGGGCAAACGAAATGTCGCGTTTACCAATGAAAAGAATAAATATTGGGTTGGAATGGGGTGTACCGTTAACTCTGCCGTTACCGCCTCGAGAGACACGGTACATACCTTGTCTACGTTTCCACGAATAAAACCCTTTCGACAGTAACAACAATCAAAAATCAATCATATATTTATAGATTAATTAAATCTTTATAATCTAACATGAGTTATACATATATATGTATATACTAGGATACTATGGCCACACATTGCTGTAGTTTATTTATAAAACGTTGATTTAAAATATGATTTTAAACTATTTAGTAAACATATCAAACAATACCATAATTAAAATGGAATAAATAAAATAATAATATACCAAAAAAATATAAAAAGTTAGGTTAGTTATGCTATAAATCTGAAAAAAAATGTACGACGTAAATATTGGGATATCTAGCACTTGAATACGCTATCTGGTGGCTAAATTCAAAATTAGAGCAGATAGGTCGAATTGCTACGCCACGCCCCTGCCAGAGATTCCAATGGCTAAATAATTGAATTGTAATACAGAGCCATCTACTGAAAATTTACAGTACCCTAGAGACCTAGATAATCTTTAAATAAATAAATCCTTAAATTAGCGATAAAAAATACGAAAAAATTATTCTATATACTAAGTTAACAACACTAAATAATACCACAATTAATAATAGAATACATAAAGTAATAATACTCACACAAAAAAAATAGAAAAAGCTAAGTTATGTCATACGTAAATCTGAAAAACATATGACATGAATAATAGCAAAATAATTGAATTGTAATACAGCACCATCTATTGAAAATTTACAGTACCCTAGAGACTTAGATAACCTCTAAATAATAAATCCTTAAATTTTTATTTAAAAACATGTATGAACATGTATGATGTATGAAATTAGGTTTATAAATTCATTAAATTTATATATAGTAAGATTCTTATGATATCAACAACATGTATGAATGTAATAATAATCAAGTGTAAAGTAGTATATCTGTAAATTAGGTTTAGTATGCAGGTATCTATTACGTAAAGTTTGAAATACTAGATAATGGAATGCAGTTCTAAGAAGACACAAGAAGAAGACAGTCTGCATTGCAATTTGCTTAACATTCTCACGGTTCTACTGTATAATATGTATATCTAAAGAAACATTGAAAGAATTTTTAATGTTCTAACCTAACAACCGTTATAATTCTCGTTGTTACACTTAATATTATAATGAATTTAAATTTTAATTAATTTTAATTATATATATATATAGAACACAACAAAATTGTCAAAAGAACAAAAATATTTAATTATTGGATAATTATTTAAAAAAAAAACACAAATGATATATGATTAAATTTAATTGAACGAACGAATATTAAATTCGTGTAATACGATTGGATCTTAATGACCAATTAGAGATAACCTTATGAAGGAATCAGAACTGAAAAGAAAATGGACGCTTCGTGATTTTGTTCAATTTAAATTTGACTAATTTAAAAATATCATTCAATTAAAATGTATTTCCTTCTTATTCGATTCATTCTCTATCAATCTTTGTAAAAAAAAAATAAAAAACAAATTTGTTGGCAAGGTGTATTTCATAGAAACGGTTAATTAAACTGGGTTCAATGGATTAAATAGATTCAAAGATGGAATTTAGGTCGAGGATTGGACGTTATCGATAAGATCTCGATATATGCATGCATTTCTCGTATACACGAGTATGTGTGTGCATGTGTATGTATATGCAACGGATCCTATAGCAAAGTTTTAGTTTCACTTAAATTGCGTTGCGCTTCGTTGAATGGAATGGAAAAGAACCTAACCTAAGAAAAGAGAGAGGCATGTGTTCTCTAAAATTTCTCATCTTTATATTTATTCGCACTTTCCACAGTATTGCTGCTATAATTTTCTCTGTAAAATTGATATCATAGATATAAGAAATTAATTAAAATTGATATTTTCTTCATTTATCGATTACTGAATGTATTATAGATAAATTGAATTATTTACCGACAGATAAAATGAATATAAGTGTCGGTAAATTATCATCGATAATAAAAACTCGACTGATATTTTATCGACTCAGTTGTATTAAAAAAAAAAGTGATGGGAATCCCCCATTTTACTTTGATATATTTCATTACTACAAGTTCAATAGAAGGATGACTCTATAGTATAATACTATAGTTTATTTATATACATATTTTTGGTACACAGTATATGCATTAAATATTGTAAAAATAATGAAATAATATTATTTGTTTCTTTTCTAAAATTACAAAATAAGTAACGATAATAAAACCAAATTATAATATACAATATTTGATGTATATAATATATATTTTGGTATAGTATGATGCATTGTGTTGGCAAAACCTGAACCAATGAACGAAATAAAGAACAAAGTAAAAGGTTTGAATAAAAAGTAAGTAAAGAAAAATGAAATAATCCATTCCAGAGTAATCGTCGTACTTTCAAAGACGTCAGAACGTCAAAGCGGTAATTCGAAGAGTTCGATACACCGTGTCCTCGAGAATGTCAACTACTCGAGTACCGTTCGTTTCGGTAATCGTTCCTCGATCTCATCGATTTTTTGCTCCCACCACTACCACCACCAACATTACCTTCAGATCGATTCTCGTCTACCACGTTTGCCCTTTGACGGAAAGATATATATCCGGGGGGTGGGGGGTTACGATCAGGTTTTCTCTTGTATGGTGTTCTGACTCGTTTACGGGTTTCCGTTATCACATTCATTATATAGGAGAATGGTTATTTCATATGAATACTTTTTTTTTTTTGCAGCAACCTTGGCCATAGAAAATGATCGAACTTCATCAAAATCGTCAAAAGATGATTTGATACTAAGCGCTAGCTCCTACAGTACACCTCAAAGGACCACATTGGGTTTAGAAGAATCTTTGACCTTTCAACGAACCTCTCCGGCATTTCGATTGGAAACTTCTAAAAGTGTTTATAGTTATGATAATAAAAATGATTTGATAGAATCTTATCCGTATGAATCGATCGATCAATTAACATCATCCAAACACATTGATCACATAGACGGTAATAACATCGAAGTTAAATCTGGAGAGTATTATCGGTAATGATTTGTTATCCTTATCATCAAATAAAACATTTTTGTGAACGACAAATGATATATGTTTAATCCCACTTGATTTTTAGCAATATAATACCAACGACAACAAGTCAGTCGATTTCGGGGGAAGGACAGGGGGCTCCGCAGGGAGGACGGAATCACTTGACGGAGCCCCATCATCAGTTGCCGGTTGGAATCCAAGACCAACCAGTACTTTATTTGCAAGGAATAGACCAACCAAGACAACCACGTCAAGAGAAGATTTATAGCGAACATGCACCACCACCACCGCCCATTCTACAAACTGCCTTGCCTGGTAGACAAGCCAATCCTGATATTCAGGACATCATTACGGGTATAGTTAAACTGTTGAACGGTAATGTCAATGTTGCTGCTAATACTGTAAGACCTTTGAGACCTGTCCAAGCTACTAGGTTAGTAATTATATCATTGTTTATATAATTAAACTCACGGTGTATTATTTTTAAGATAAATTTTTGTATTTTAGGATTAACAATAGAGGACCACCAAGAATTTCTGACGTTCCACCATTACCACCAGATTTTGATACACCTGGTATGAATCCCCCACCACCACCAGACACACCATATCCGTTTGATAAACCACCGAGTCTTGATAGGCCATTGGTTAATCAATTACCACCTGAAAGACCTATCAGACCTTTCTTAAATGGTGTACCTTTACCGGAACAAATTGTACCTTCAGGAAATCGTCCTTGGTCCTGGAACAGGCCTGGTATATATTTTAATTATGTATATATATATATTTTTAGAAGAAAAATTTCAATAAAATAATTGATTTTGTTTGATGATTCAGGTGTTCATAGACGACCCATTCCAGCTTACAAACCTTTACCACCTAATTTGGATTCCAGCTTTCATCGGGACAAAGATCATTTGAGCAATGATAAACACATGGAAAAACCTCATTTTGATTTGAAACCCGATCAACAACAACAAATAGAACTCAATACAACTAACGAATCTGTAAACGTTAACGAAGAAATGGCGACCAATCACAAAACGATAGAAAATAAAATAGTAAATAATCATAATCAGGATAATGAACAGGATAATCCTACGAAGAAAGGTGAACACGATGATTTTACGAAAAAGATTCACAAGTATCAATCCCATATGAAGGATAAAATAAATAATGACAATACTTTAATATTGGGTGCTAATGAATCTGATGACAATGTGAATCAAGCTAGCAGTGTGATACGTTACACGGAATCACCAAAACCTGTAATATCATTGAACAGTCATACGAAGGATACGAAGATTACTAAAACCAACCATCACGTTATCGAATCTTCGATTATTAATTCAAAGATTGAAGATGAAAGCAAACTCGATGACGTCACGTTGTTCTCGAGTACAATCAAACCTACCAAATTATTTTCAACGAGTACTTTAAACATTGAAACAAGTTCTTCCGTACGTGTGATTGAACCCACGTCAACCAAGACGAACGTTCAACAGCAGTCAACATTTGTCCCAACGAATGATCATCGTCATACGAGTAAAATTGTCGAAACTACAACGACCACAACGACAAGGATGGAATTGGAACCAAGTATTTCATCAATTGAAACAGAAATTATGGAAATTCGTACAACAACATCATCTGTTATGCCAACTGAAAGTTTACCACCAATTACAACAACTTATTCAAAAACTAACACTCAGAAAACTACGATTCATAGTTCAACGAGTAGCAACACATTTTCGAAAAACACAGGTAATACCCAATGATGTGTTTTAAAACCCAATAATGATAAAGGGAAAGTGTTTATTTTATATTTAACGATGTAATATTATTATTTTATTTTTGTAGTACCTACCGATCGATATTCCTATCGACCTCGGCCTGGAATAGTACTCGATGATACCTTGGATTACACAGGAACACCAGGATTGGCTACGCAAAGACCTTACCCACCACCAAGACCTACATCCTTGGTTGATATATTCGACGTCACGGTTTCCGCAGTTCAAGGTCCAGGTGGAAGTTCTGGTATACCTTTTTATCTTGATAATTAATCATCTAACTTGATATCAACAAACAAGAAAATCTAATTTGATTAATCGTGACAAATCAGGTGACGGTGTTAGGGTGTCAATTAATGGTGGAAATGCCGATGTTATTCTAACAACTGCCGTGGAAGGTCAAGGATTTGTGAGTATCGATGGTAAAAGGACTTATTTAAATTTATTCGACAATACTGATCGAACTTTAACATCAACCACCCAGCCAATACTTCAACCAACTCGAACTCAACCACCCCATGTCGTTGGCACCGGGTTTGTAGTTTTGTTTTTACAGTGTATCAATTGTATGAAGTATTGTAAAACAAAAACATCAATTTAAATATGATTTTAGATTAGCAATACCACAACCGGATACTCCTAACATCAATCAACGTCCTAGTTTATTATCACCAAGACCAAATTATCCTAAACGACCAACTCAGCCTCCTGTTAGGATTGATACTTGTATAGTTGGTGATAGTAGTACCTGTGATGCAAGTCAACATGAAGCTTGTGCAACGATTCAAGGTGTATCAGCGTGTCATTGTAAACCAGGATTTGCTAGGTTACAACATTCCTTACCATGTAAAAGTACGTAATCGAAATTAGGATGAATCGTTCGTGAGTTAACTGTATTACAAATTGTGTTGTACATAACCTACTAAATTTTTAAAATATATAATCTTGATATCTTAAAATCAATCTATTTGGTTAGCAACTAAGTGATTGCAAATTTTGTCGATAGATGTCTTAGTTGCTCACCCAATATATTCAAAACGAAATATTATTTGTTGTTATTTTTTTTTAATAGAAATCGTAAGTATCGTGGTATCCATCAGGATAGATAGATTTTACGATAGAAAAGTTGTATGGGATCGTGGATTAGCTGACAAGGATACCGAATCCTATCAAACGTTGTCCTTCGAAGCTAACAGAGCTGTAAGTATTTTGTTCTAAATTTTATCTCAATAATAATAATAATAAATTTATTTTCATTTGACGTTATTGATCAATTCAGATCGAGTCAGCGATGTCTATGACGCCATTCTCGGACGAGTATATGGGATCGTCAGTTAATTCCGTCTATCAAGGTGATGTCAGTCAAGGACAAGGTGGTGTCTTTGTTAATGCAACCCTGAAGCTAATCTATGAACCGAGAACTGTGCGACCCAGTTTAGCCGGTGAATTGCAGAAACAACTGTTAGGTGTCATTCATAGGAGGAACAATAATATTGGAAATAGCGCGTTATACGTGGACAGTCCTCGTGGATCGATATCCAATTTGCAAGGTTAGATATAAACAAAAAAAAATAAAACAAATACACTTCTTCTCTATTCACACCCCCACCCCTTTACTCCCATTTTGTTTTTCTAGACTTGGACGAGTGTGCATCATCGGAATTAAACGATTGTCACTCTTATGCAACTTGTACAAATTCATGGGGTGGTTTTACCTGTACTTGCAATTCAGGATTAAAGGATCCTCATAAGGATGATACCAATGAGTCTGGTAGATCATGTTTGTCATGTCCTTCAACTCATTGCAATAATCGTGGAACGTGTTCCTATCAAAATGATCAGATGCAATGCGCGTATGTTGCAAACTTTATTGGTTTCTTATTAATGATTGATTTATAAACTTAATTATTATATTAATTTGTTATTTTTGGTCAATAGATGTACTGGCAATTATTATGGGACACAATGCGAGGTTGACGGTGAAGTTTTAGGTGTTGCTATTGGTGCATCTGTTGCTGCTTTGATAATCATAGTATTAACACTCGTTTGTCTTGTGATGTGGAGGTAAATAATTTGATTAAATGTAAAAGTAGTTTAATTATGAGGAATAATTTTGATATTAATTTATTTTTATTATAGTCGAAGGTGGTCACGTGAACAAAAATCAGTAGGGTCACCTGTTTATGGATATATTCAAGGTGGAATACCTGGAACACTTCCTGGTAGAGTATAATTTTGATATATCATTTATAAACCTTTTTTTGTATATAACAATATATATTTATATAATAATGATGATATATAATAGGTACATTAGCTAGAGTAGGTTCAGTTGGGACATTGGCATCGGTAAAACAAGGACCACCACCTAATTTACCACCCTACATGTTGGCACATTTTGGTGATCACATGGCAACTGCCAATATTTATGCCGTAAGTATCATAAAACATTTAAAACAAAGATAAACATATTATTATTAAAAATGTTCTCATAAACAGACAGAACCTATGGGCCCAACAAGACCAAGCTCAGCAATGTTTGGTTATCCACCAATAAACGTTCACGGAACATTACCACCGGTTCCATTACCACGATTGCAAGCTCCACCGAGACCAAGACAAAGACATCAACCGGATCCAGACAGTTCTGATTCAGAACCTCAGGATAAGGATAGAGCCGATTTGATACCACACAGTAATGGGTTCCATGTGCCCAGGCCTAAATCCAGGTCGTCTTTGGCGGTTAGTATAACAAAACAATTCATTTGTGATATATTAAATACATATATGTATATAATACATGTGTGAAAGACAGAAATTGGATACTGTAAAAGATTCACATGGTGAAATATTGCAACATTAATTTTGCATTTGATTTTATTTTTGTACATTTCATATTTTGGATATATACATGTGTATCTTGGACATTATCTACAATTTCGGTCTTTCATAGTAACACCATAAATATCTGAGTGGTTCTATTAGGTTGGCAACTAAATCATTGCTGATTTTAAAAAGCTACCTATTAGCAACATCTGCAATTATTTTTAGTTGCAACCCAAATATTTTTTTTTTTCTACAGTTTTTACAGTGATTAATTTGTTTATTTTATTATTTCCAAATGCAATTGCACATTTTCTGAAAACAGCAAAATAAAAAATACAAAAAAAACTATATTTACTTTTGTATTTTAATTTTTAGAATCAAAGTGGAATTTACAACGACGTTGAATACGATCAAGGAGACGTTCAGCACCTGTCCAAAAATAATATACCAATGTCCACCTATAGACCGTATTATAGAACGTGAAATTGTTTTTTTTTTTACAGAAAAAAAAAGCACAAAAGAAAAGAAACAGTCGTGGCTCATAAGTGTCCCTTTCCTTCTCTGCTGTAAAAGATGAGGAAAAATTGTAAAATAAAATTAAAAAAAAAACAAAAAATGAAAAAAAAAAGACACAAAACAAATAACGGGGAAAATGAAAGGAGACTCTTTATACATAGTAAGATTATTTAAAAATGTCTTCCATATTGGGAAGCTTATTAAACTTTTTAGGTTAGGTTTAGAAATCCTATTTCGATTGGTTTCAATGGACCATTGAGTATTATATTAAAGTCCCAAAACGATTGGAATAGTTATTAATGTTATTATATAATCATCCATTTATGTAATTTTTCTTTTTTTTTTTGTAATTACATATTATACATATATATTGTTTTTTTGTTTGTTTTTTTTTCATTTGTTTTTGTTTCAAAGTTGAATTACAATAATACATTTTGAAAAAAGTATATTTCAACCAAGTTTATCACTTTTTTTTTGGTTTTTTTTTTTAATCCCATTTTTGCCTCATGTGCATTTAAATAATAATAATAATAATAATAATAATTAATAATAATCAAAGTTAAAAATAGTTTGTAAACATCATTTCATTTGAGGTTAATTAATGTTTCTTCTTTTTTTTTCCGATCAAGTAAAAATACACAGAGCTTTTGAAACATTGTTAATTAATTATTGTTTGTGTTTTTTTTTCTCTCGGCACTGTAAAACACACAAGTTTATTTTTGTTTGTTTGTTTGGTAATTATTCGATTAATTTTATAATTAATTAATGTCGTCAAAAAAATCAAATAAACAAGTGTTTTTATTAAAAAAAAAAAGAAAAAACCACGTGTATATATCAATTCGTTGCTGTTACTCGTGCCGTTTCATTTTCAAATTATTTAAAATCATCAAACTTTTCTAAAACTAGCGTAGTCGTCGTGTAAAATTCAAAACTAACGGCCGTTGAAAATATTATATTTTTAAAGAATAACAACATTGGTCACAAAATTTTCATTCACATTATTTTCTAATTGTATATATATATATATACGATACTTAAATTACGATTAAAAAATATACTCGAAAAAGGGAGAGGGAAAGAAAAAAAGGGAAGGGGATAAGAGAGAAGAAGAGGGGGAGCGTAGTTGAGGCACGTGACAATTCGCGCAAAATACAATATTACATTTATCATTTTTTTTTTTGTTCTTTTCCAAGCTGAAATAAACGAAAAAAACTGTATCCCTATTTTATTTATTATTATTATTATTAATAACAATAACCTATTGATATTCGAAAAGAGTAAAATTTGTTTAAAATTTTCTTTAAATAAGTTTTTCTTACATAGGATTTCATTTTTGTTTTTTTTTTGTTTTTTTTTTTTTTTTTTTTATGCAAACATGCGTAAAATCGTGACGAGAGATAGATAGAGAGAGAAAATATTTTTTTTTTTTTATTATCGAATCACGGTCTTCTTTTTTTTTTTTATGTATTTTAAATCGTAAATCGTTAATGATTGAGAGAATATGTTTTTACCGAACGTTGACGTATATATATATATTTTTTTTTATATATATATATGGAAAAAATTATGTAATTACAATATATCAATATAATAAATATGAAATATGTGTTGACAGATATACATATATATATGCATCAAGGTATATGTATGTATATGCGTACTGTAATGTATAAATACTATATATATATATAGATAGATACAGGGTGTTCCAGTTTTATTCCACAAAATTTTATCAACACGTAATATGGTACTTAAAAATACAAATAAAAATAAAAAGAAATGTTATATTACAAAACAGACTCTTAAATAATTTATTAAATAGTTATAACAAATATATAAAATTATAACAATATTAATAATTCGTTGATATAATTAATAACTATATCAATGTGTATCAATTAATATATTTGCAACTCATTTAGCATGTAAAAAATTAATATTACATTGTTTTGTATTTTTTTTAATTTCCTACAAAATAAAAATTGCTGTTAAAATTGTTAGAAGATATATTATTATTATTATTATTAACTATTAGCTGAACAGGTGTCTTGAAGAACCAACTTTTTGATTCCCAAAGATTAACAAATTATAATTTATTCTTATGTGATATAAAAAAATGAAAGAAAAAAAAAAATACAAGCAAAGTATTCTCCATTATAATTTCGTAATTTTGATTTAATAACATTTTAATAAAACATTTAAAAGTTAATAAATTTATAAGAACACTTTGTTCTCATTTTGTTTGTTTGTTTTTTTTTCACTAATTAATACTAATTAATAACACACTGATAAAATTTTGTGGTAGGAGAGGAAGAAAGGGTTAAAAAAAAACTGGAACATCCTGTAACATTATCATATAATATTAATCAATAATATTAATAAATAATATTAATCAATAATAATAATAATAATAATAATTCTTTCTTTCTTTTTCGATATACGTAACAATACTCCACGCACACATACACATACACACACTCACACATACACCTGAACGATAAAGAGATAATGTATTACTTTTTTTGTTTTCTAGATTTTCTCGTCTTGTTTCTTTTGTGATAAGTGTGTAACAATGTTATATTATATAATGTATATATATATATATATATAAAGGAACACGATACTACTATCACTGAATCATGCGTAGCACCTGTTCCTCGACATTTCGTATAAAGGCAATAAATTTCTTTTGGTATGTAATAACAAGAAGAAGAGAAAAGGAATTGATTTCTTTTTTTTTTTTCTTTTTTTTTCATTTATATATACAGGGTAATTCACCAGCACTTGTCACCTAAATAACTCCGAAAGTATAATACTAGAAAAAAAGTGGATAATGAAAAAGTTGCATGAAAAATTCAGGACTATAATATGACATTAATATTTTTTTGTTAGGACAAGTCATTTTCGAGATTTAATGGTCAACTTTGTTTTTTTATATACAATGTTATATTTTAATACTCATTTTCGGATAGCGGCTGTCAAGACGAATAGAATGATATGCAACATTAATATTTTTGAAGTTTTAACGAAGGTGAAAACTGGCGAACAATGCAGCCAAAATACAGCTCTTTCGCGCTGTATTTTCGCGCTACCAGAATGGCGCTGTGGTCGCGTCATCCTTCAGTTATTTCAATAGATATTTTCCAAATTGTTTTTATCGGTCATTGTCAAGTTTTATATTTAATGTTATATATCGTTGGATTCGTCTTGACAGCCGCTATCCGAAAATAAGTATTAAAGTATAACATTGTATTTAAAAAAACGAACTTGACCAATAAATCTCGAAAATGGTTTAACCTTGCAAAAAAATATTAATGGCATGTTGTAGTCCTGAATTTTTCATGCAACTTTTGCTTTATCCACTTTTCTGTTACTTTCATACTTTCGGTGCTGTTTAAGCTGATGAATCATACTGTATATATTGGAAATATTCTTTGATTATACATCAAGAATATATTTTTGATAAGCAAGGATATAAACTATATATTTTTGTTATCCTGCTTCATTTTTTTGTTTGGTCGTATTTTAACATGATATATTATTTATATAGTTTTTTTTTTATTTTATTTTATATATATATGTATGTATGTATATATATATATATAAGTAATGTAAAAAGATTCCGAAGAGATTAAAAAACATTGTCAAGATGAAGGAGGAGGATAATAAAGCGAGCGGAGTAAGAAGTTTTGGAAGGCAAAGAGTGACGACGGGTACGGCTGATCTATGAAATTTTTTTGTTTTTCTTTCAAAGATGGCCGACTCGCGATTATTATTATTATTATACACGAGAAAATATAATTAATACTTCCTTTTTATTTTGTGTGTACTTTTTTTTTTGCTTTTTTTGCTTATTTGTTTTTTTTTTTTATTTTTTTTTTTTCGTTAATCCGCAGTTTGCCGACGAAGATGATTTATCCCATTTTTATTTTCATTTAACTTTAATATACAGTAATCAAATTTGAAATGAATCAAATTAGCTTTCAGACAATAGTAAATCTAGCGTTGAAAATAATGTTATTTAAAAATATTTTGATATTATTTAAAATCGTTGATTAATTTATGTCTGATATGATTTGCACATTATTTTCAAAAAATATTCTGTATTAAAAATAGGATTTATTTTTCATCGACAAGCAAACGTAATAAATGTGTCCATAATTATGAAAGTTATCTAACATAAGTCAAAATATAAACAAAAAATGACTTTATCAATTATTCAACACACTACACATTATTTTAAATTAAATTAATTCAATAACAATTTTTCATGCTATTTAAATAAAAAATGAATTTAGTTAGATAATGTTTGTTATTTCAATATTATACAAAAATTAATTTAAAACATTTAAATATAATACTTTAAATATTTCAAACCAGAAGACATATATGACAGACCATTTTCATAATTATGACCACAAATATGGTTCTCTTAAGTATCTTAAGAATCCTTTCTGTGACTTATATTACAAACGACGTGTTATAAGTACCCAAGGTTTAAGTACGTAAGTATTCAAAGTAGAAAGTGTAAAGTATCACAAGGATTATAATAATCTTTATAATAATAATAATAATAATAATAATAATAATAATAAAGATAAAGATAATAATAATAATAATAGTAACAATAATCTCGCAGTAGAGTGCGAAGATTATTGTGCTTTATCTTAACATTATCGATCATACATTAATTATAAGCGCTTTAATATTCGCGTTCGTTTTATACGCGAGAGAGAAACCATACGCGCCAACGAGTATCACCAAAGGGGAATTTTTTTCTTTCTTCGTGTGTGTGTGTGTTTAGGATTCTCCCATAAATACATCAGTCTTTGACACAATAATTTATAATAATAATACCACTGATAGTAAAGAGAAAGAGAGAGAGAGAGAGAGAGAGTGAGAGAGAGAGAGAGAGAAAGTAAAGCTGAGTTAGAAAGATCATCTTATACATATATATATACAAACATATACACACACGTGTGTATTTTTTTATGTGTTCTGTGTGTTCTTTAATATGTGTGCATGATATGTATATATCTATATACATATTAGACACACGTGTGTATTTTCTTTTTATGTTTACTGTGTATTCGTCAATGTGTGTACACGATATATATATGTATGTATATATATATATATATTTATATCTATATATATATTTGTTTATTTATTTTATTTATAATATAATCATTAAATATTTTTCATTTTTTCATTTTTCTTTTTTTTTATTTACCGTAGACGAGAACACTTATAAAAGGCGACTTTAAGTATTTTTTTTATTTTTTTTTTATTTTTGTTTTTTTTTGTTTTTTGATGCGTGGTCAAATATTTCGTTTAACGTTGTGCGCGATAGAGAGCGGAATTAGAAGGCTCGAATAGAAATATTATTTAGTAGTAAAGAGAAAGATGAAAAAAAAGTATATACAGGGTAATTCATCAGTTTTTGCTACCTAAATAGTTCAGAAATAGAAAAAGTTGCATTAAAAATTCAGGACTACAATACGACATTAATATTTATTTGTTAAATTAGATCACTTTCGAGATTTATTAGTCAACTTTGTTTTTTTATATACAATGTTATATTTTAATACTCATTTTCGGATAGCGGCTTTGAAGACGAATCCAATGATATGCAACATTAATATTTTTGAAGTGTCAATGAAGGTAAAAATTGGCGAACAAAGCAGCCAAAATACAGCTCTTTCACGCTGTATTTTTGAGCTACCAGAATGGCGCTGTGGTCGCGTCATCCTTCAATTATTTCAATAGATATTTTCCGAATTGTTTTTATCGGTCATTGTCAGGTTTTGTATTTAATGTTACATATCGTTGGATTCGTCTTGACAGCCGCTATCCGAAAATGAGTATTAAAGTATAACATTGTATTTAAAAAAACAAAGTTGACCGATAAATCTCGGAAATGACTCAACCTAGCAAAAAAATATTAATTTCATGTTGTAGTCTTGAATTTTTCATGCAATTTTTTTCTCATCCATTTTTTTGACACTGTCATACTTTCTGAGTTATTTAGGTGGTAAGAACTGGTAAATCACTCTGTATAAATATATATGTATATTTATATATATTCTCGAAAAAAGGGCGTTAGAAGAAATATGTTTCCTAAAATTGTACGACACGAGTCGGAATAATTTATAATACTTACTGACGATTTAATCTCATCATTGATAAAATGTTGTGTGTGCATTATTATAAAGAAGAATAGCATAATTCTTCCATTTTTTTTTTTTGCTATAAATCGAACCTTGTATTCTTCATTTTCATTTCTTTTCTATTATCCTTTCGATCAAACCAGCAATCTCATATTTTTGATTCTTTTTTTTTTCGTCAATTGAAATAAATAAAAAAAAGTAAAAAAACTTTTTTTACCTTACACGTAATAATTAAATAAATAAATAAATATATTTATATTATTTTTACATATAAACAAATAAAAATATGAATAAATTATTTGACGTATATATTTTAACATTTATATTTAATATGTGGTTTTTTTTTTTTTTTAACTCGCGTGTATTTTTTTAATGAGGACACGAGAAAATTACAAGAAGAAGATGACAACAACAACAAAAAACAACGTAACAGTAGAGAAAGTTATATATATATATATATATGTATATACAACGAGATGCTTGGGGGTGTGAGGGTTATGTATGAATCTCGAAAGGTGTATTTTATCATCGAGCCCTCGTCAGGATAATTAGTTATATTTAATTCTCTAGCTATTTTAAATTAAACCACCATAATAATAATTTTCTACTCAATAATCGTGTCATATTATTTAAAAAATTGTTCTAACCCTTTTTTTATTGATTTTACAACAACAAAAAATGATAAAATGTGTGATAATTATAAAGATAACTTTGTTTCTTTTTTTTTCTTCTTCAACAGACTTTAATTTGACCTATTTTCTTGTATAAGTCAAAAGAGAGGTTAAAAGTCACCATAGCTAGGGAATTAAATATTTTCTATAATACGAGGGACACACACACATATACGAGGGACAAGCGCACCTATCGATTCTCTCTTTCTTTTCTTTTCTTTTCTTTCTTTCTTTCTTTCTTTCTTTCTTAGGCCACACGATATTTAATGTTGTTTATTTTATTACGAGGAAAATGAAAAAGAACGAGCACGCCTAGTAATTTTATACTCGTTACACGAGATTCGTTAGTTAATAAATTTGATTAATTTAAGTCGGAGTTGCTTGAGTCTGAGGTGAGGGTGATGCAGGAGTGTTAACATTTGGCCTATAGAATCTGTTAACTAATTGTTTCAGACTCATGACACTTCCTAATCCTGTACCCGGGTCCATGTTGATAAACGAATCCAAATTGTCTTTGCACGCTAAAAACGTACGTATTTTTTTTTTTTTTGGTCGTAATCTATAATGTATTTTTCTTACAATGAAATATTCCTAAACAAATTATACATACTTGGCGTTGAAATTGGTGGATAATCGGGTGGCGTTTTGATCCATGTGCCATCCTCGCGTTTCATGTGTTGACGATTCGATGCAAATTGTTGCAAATAAATACTAGCAGGTACCAATCTAAATCGTCTGTGATATTCCGGTCTTAATGCTTCATCAGATCTGAATGTTTCCGTAGCGTATTTCCAGAAATGTGTTGGAAATGGTAATGCGCTATCCAAATCGTAAACGACGGCTCTTTCATCGGGCGCGTAAATCAGTATCACGTGATAATCCTGAAGAAATAATGAACGAACGAACGATTCTAATGATAGTATTGATAAAGTTTGATTTTATTTTATTTTTTTTTTATAGCAATCAACTAACCCAAACAACGAGTTTGTCTTCGTCTTTTCCAGCACGTTGACGCCAAAGTGGTACGCTACGTCGAGAATTACTAATAAATGCAACATGACAATGTTGCAATTCCGATCCGTGTTTAGTAGCAACGTCCTGACACAACTTCCATACATTTTCTTCGCTAAAAAAAAAACCATACATATACCGTAATAATAAATAAATAAATATAATTTACAATAAAATGGTTTTATTGCGTGCACGCGATACGAGTAAAGCACCTTTTTATAGATTTATCAGATGTAAATTGCAAGATTATAAAATGGATAACCAATTGTTTTATAATAAAAAGAAAATCGTTAATTCGCTAAGTATTGGAACATTTAAAAAAAAAAAATTTTGTAAAAAAAGAGAAAGAGAGAGAGGGAAGACGTAAATAAAAAGTTACTGTGCATGAATTCATTCGAGAAAGATGAAGAAACGAAAGAAGATTCTGGGCCAATAATCGTGCAGCTGAAGTAGCGCGAATTTTTGAATATTCTCTTCTAAACGTTTCTGATTGGTAGCACGTTTTATCTTCTCTCTCTCTCTCTCTCTCCCTCTTTCGCTTATGTTTTCATCGATAATGGCGTCGCTTCGTATCAGCAGCGTTCGTGTTCCACCACCGCAACACGCGTATCGATCCAGGGGCGCGCGGAATATACCGCAATACGACACATTTTATTCCTTCAAATCGATCTTTACCCCTTCTCATTACTTAATACGAAAAGAAAAAAACAAATAATAAGAATCTACATTAAATTAAATATAAATTGTTTTCATTTCTCACCAATAGCAGCTGGTGTAAATGCAATCGGTTGACTTGGTGAAAAGCGGCACCAGGGGTTTGGTGTTTCCCGGGACACGAGGTTCCACTGCCATACTTTGTTTACAAACTTTTGACGTTTTATTCGAAACCCTAATCAATCTCTCTCTCTCTCTCTCTCAAACTCTTCTTATTCACACTTCGATTAAATTCGCAAATGAATTATGTTGTTGTTTTTTTTTTTAATTTTTTTTGTTTTTAATGATTTCTTTCAAACTACGTCATAGTTACCAACACAAATTCATTTCGCGCAAACATCATCATCATCATCATCGTCGTACTTTATTTTAACCCTATATGGTTTTAATTTTGATCAAAATTTGTATTAAACTTGTGTATATTAAGTACAACCTATGATACTGAACATGCTTCCGTCACTGCGTCTCACTAGGGAATGTAACTACGTTCTCTTGACATCGGACCCGCGCCAGGGTGTCATGACATTGCGACTGCGTACTACACGTCTTCCCCTTCCCCTTTCATTCGATTTGTTTATCCCCCACTCTTTTTTACATCTCTCTCTCTCTCTCTCTCTCACACACACACTCTTTCTTTCTTTCTTTCTTTCCACACACCAATGAACGTTTGTAAGGCCGAACGCGCGTTATCATTGTACTATTAATAAAGCATATTTTACACGGATGAAAAAATAAATTGTAAAAAGAAATCAAGAGAAAAGAAAAGAAATAAATATATAAAAAAAAAAATGTACGGAATTAAGATAGTATTTGTTGTTAGAAAAAATATCAATGATATATGAGATAATCAATCGTTAAATCTTATCAATGTTTCTTTTAGAGATTATTATAATCGATAATACAAATATTAATTGATAATTAGATTAAAAATGATACCAAGATTAATTTATTATTTTTTTTTATCTGAATAATAATAATAGTAGGGTGAAATAAAAAAATTCGTGAATTCTTAATCAACGTTGTTTTGATTTTTCAAGGAAAATGATTGGTGAAACCTTTGACACGTTGAGCGCCATGTTAAAAAACTATCAATTGAAAGAATATTAAGGATGTATTTTTTACCCCTTTAAACTTTATTATTTATCTTTTTTTATTTTATCAGACACACGCGTGAGTTTCAACCCTTCGTAAATATACATTTTCCTACTATAAAACCGATGATGTTATCGGATAATATCCTCCAATGATCGATCCGTGAGAATTTACGCGAGTATAATGCGACCTTCCTTGCTTATCCGATAAAAATGTGTTTGTGTTATATATATATATATATWKTKWTWWTATATWKTRTATAWWATATATATATATATATATATATATATATATATATATATATTATTCTTGCGTCTCGTCTTTTTTTCTTTTTTTTTTATTTTATTAAAGAGAAACGATAAAAAGAAAAAAAAGACACTTGCATCGATGATGACATTTTCTATTGAACGTGTTCTGCTTCATTTTTATTTTTTTTTATTTTTCACGTTTGTCAAACAGTATGATAGTTTTTCTTTTTATTGTTTCTTTTTTTTTCTTTCATGTCAATACGATTAAATTCTACCTCTCTGCAAGTGATGCAAAACTTTTTCTACTTTTTTCTTTTCTACCTTAGTCTCTCTCTTTCTCATGGTGCTGGTTGTGTTTAAAACAAATGCTTGTCCTTTGATCTTTGTTCATAAAAATACAAAAAAAAAAAGTATTTCAATTATTCGTGTAATATTTTTTTTCTTTTTTTACAAAAACCTTTTGAAATTTCTTTTTCTTTTTTTTTTTTTTTGTAAAAAGATAATATAATTTTAAAATTGAATTTATTACAGAATGCATATTGAATAATGCAGTAACGAATGTCAGATAACTCGACCGGAAATGCAATGGCGTCCCTGAACTTTGAACATGACAAAACGTTTATCTTTTAATTCGTATTTAACTATTATCTTTTGAGTATACTTTTACATTGTCTAGGACTATTTTTTTTATTATTTCAGACATTTTTTTTGTGTTTGTTTATAAATTCTTTAACATAATGGCAATAAATGCAGCAAAAGCTGTTCTTAAACAAGGAAGAACTGTATTATTTATATGTGATTTTCAAGAAAGATTTGCTAAGGTTATGTTCGAATTTGACAAAGTTCTACAAAATTCTGTTAAACTGGTAATTACACACACCGATTATAAAATCATTTTATATATTATTAAAATGCAATAATATAAATTAATGTAAATATATGAATGTGTACATTAATAAAAAAAAAAATTGAGGTTATATTTTGGTTTCATTTTGATACTCATATAACTGAACACAATTAAAACATCAATCTTATTATTAAAATATGTTATATATATATATTACAATGTAGGTAAATTCCATGAAACTTTTACAAATTCCAATGCTAGTAACCGAACAAAATCCAAAAGCTTTAGGAAAAACTGTATCTGAATTAGAAATATCTTCGGCTAAAGGTCCTTATGAGAAAACCCAATTTAGTATGTGTACTCCTAACGTAAGTATAATTCTTCTTTTCAATTTTCTATTTGTTACAAGAATTAGTAATCATTTATAAAATGATATTATATACATAGGTTAACGAAGTACTTTCTACTATTTGCTGTGGATCTCGTCCAGAGTCTATTATACTTATAGGACTTGAAACACATGTTTGTGTTGAGAATACAGCTATTGATTTAAGAATGAATGGATATGAAGTTCATACTGTGGCAGACTGTTGTACATCACGCACACAAGAAGACAGATTATTGGCATTGGAGGTAATAGATTATGTGATACTTGTATTATAATAAAATATATATTAATAAACTATAAATCATTTTTTCTAGAGAATGAAAGCAATAGGATGTCACGTGTCTACTTCAGAGACTGTTATTTTTAAATTACTGAAAGATGCAAACCATAAAGAGTTCAAAAGTATTCAAAAACTTATAAGAACACCAACATTGTATACAGGACTCGTATCAGTATCAAAGATATGAGATATATAGTTTTGTTACAAAAAATCATTTCAAACTGATGAAACTAATAAATTGTTGAATTATATCATGTATTATTTTATAAAAATAGTATCACACATATTACAGTATAAGAACACACAATGGAAATAAGAAAATATAATAATACTGTACTTTGATTGGTAACAAGTTTATAATCAGTTCGTTTTATCTATTGATTGGAAATCTTAACTTTCTTATTTTGTTCCTGTCGAACCAAAACCACCTTCACCTCTTGTTGTCTCATCCAAGGTATCCAATTCTTCTAATACAGGGTATTCTATTTTTTCACAAATTATTTGAGCAATACGATCACCAGGTGCTACTTTAAAATCTTCCTCGCTATGATTGAACATTAATATTTGTAGGTTCCCACTAGAAGTAAAACGAATAATTAGAATAAAATTGGATCAATTAAATAATTATTTTCATTTTGAATATAAAAGGAATATTTTACCGATAATCCGCATCTATGACGCCTGCGCCAACATCTATAAAATTTTTCCATGCTAAACCAGATCTTGGAGCTATTCTGCCATAAGTACCAGGAGGAACCTGGACTTGTATATCAGTTTTCACTAATGCTTTGCCTCGAGCCGGTACAATGGCCTCATACGCACTAAAGATATAACAAAGAACATTTGAAATAAATGCATTCATTTTTTGTCTAATAACAAACAATAATTCTTACCTTCGTAAATCAAATCCAGCTGCAAATTCAGAACCTTTCGTAGGTGCAAAAGCTTTATTTGATAATTTGGCGAATTTTAAAATACTCATGTTTGATGTAGCAGCCATGACGAGACCTTACTGCTTAATACAACGTTTTTCAATAGGTTCTAAACCTTAGAACTTATTTCTTTATACTTCAAGCCCGCCAAAAATGTATATAGAAGTATATAGAAGTGCAAAAGTTCGCTTATTTCGCAACTGTATTCATCTTAGTTCCTGTCATAACCATCAGTGGGCGATGGAAAGTCTATTTAATGCCATGACGGTACAATACTGTCAAAGATATTTATATTTCATCGTTGAATTTGAGAATAAACCTTTAAGATTTTCTTCTGTTTAGTAGGTGTCTGAAATTGTATCATTTGTATAATGACATTTCTAAATGCACACACATGTTTATACACTAAATATTAAATATAATAATTGAAAATTTAATTGTAAATTGAAATGAGAATCTAATTAAGAAAAAAAAAATGAACTTGGCAGATTTAATATTATTTTGTATTTTTTAATAATATTTATATTAAATGATTTTAATTGATAATACTTATTTTGAAAAGTCCGCCGAAAGATCACCCGATAATCGATATTATATCGAATATCGAAATCGCGTAGTTATCGCGGTCCGTCTTATACTTTCAAGACAAATATCTTGGCATTTAATTGAGAAGAATTATAAAATGATGCATTTTAATTAATAAAATGAAATATATATGTTAATTATCTATAATATATATATATATATATATTAATAAATTATCTAACCTTTAGAAAAATTGTGTTAACTCATCGACGGGGAGTCCCTTACAAACTACGTAAAAGTAATCACATGGAGAAGACCGAAGAGTGTCAACGATCAATAGTATAACGAAAATGAATTGGTGAATATTACTTGAAGTATTCCGTGGAAATCATGGTATCCGGCGAACACGAGAGATTGTTACCTGAGCCTGAAAATTACACGAAATGCTTTTACGATCTCTTTAAAAATGTAGCAGAAGCGCAAAGGTATATAAACGTGTTTTCTAACCTCAACAATCTTTGTTTACCTGTCACTTTTCCTTATGTCTATGAAAGTAGTTGTTATTCTTGACGATTTCATTAAATTCTTAAGTCAATTTTGTAAGAAATCATAAGATTCTTTATTCAGAATTTATTTATTTCATTTAATTAATACGCGATATAACTGTATTTATTTTTCTTCAGGAATAACCTCAAATGTTTTATTTATGCACATTTGACAGTTCCAATGTATACAAATGTTTTTCATATTTTATTTCTCTGATCATTTATCAAGATTGTTAATTAATGTATTAACAATAATTTTCTTTTGTTTTATGTTATATTTTCTGTTATTTAAGAATAATAATAAATGATTTATTTTTAGATATAAAAATGAATGGAAGAAATGTAAGAAGAATAAAGCTGCTAAAAAGAAGGATAAAAAGAAGGTATTATTATTATTATATAATTTGATTTATCTTTTTTTTCTAAAATAATATATTGTATATATTTGTAGATTGAAGTGGGTGGTGATTTAAATTATAATAATCCACCAGAGATAGAGGTTTCATATAATGCATCAGCATTTGCTGTATTCGCTAGTGTTAGAAGTGCCATACTTGAAAAACATGCAAGAACAACAAGTGAGATTTGTAGAGCATCTAACTGTGGTTCACCACCACCAGAACTCAGTGATACAATTGATTCTGAGAGTGATGATGAAGATAGAACATCAACTATTCAGAGCTTACCAAAGGTAAATAATATATAAATAATATTAATAACTCTTTTTATTAATTTAATGTTTCTATAGATTGTAGGTATCGGATTAAGAAGTGTTTTTACTTTAATGCGTGAAAGTAAATCTGTTGATCCTACATTATGTACAAAAGCACTAGTAGCCTTATTGGATGTATTACAAGGACAGCTCCCAGAAGGCTTAAAATCAGAACCAGACGATGTCATAGGTTAAAATTACAATCTGATTAATTGAACTATAAATTTGTGCGTCTCAACTTGATTACAAAACTAATTCATTGTATCTTTCCAGATCTTTTATTTGATTTGCTATTAGATCTTGCAACATCTCATGGCCCTGAATCAGCGGCTGCCAATGATGGCAGTCATTTGACAGCAGTTGCATGTGCATGTCTATTAAGTCTTGTCGTAGTCAGAGGAGATACTGGTCGTCTTTTAGCAGCAGTAGCCGCTTTACTCATGTGTCCAAGAGCATTAGCGATTCAAAATATACAGGTAATAAAGTTATGAAAATATATATATATATTTATATAGATTTGTTTTCAACTTTAAAATATAATTAGATAAATTTATTTTCTTTAATTTTAGATGCCATGTGTATTAACTTCGTTGCAAAGAAGTGTGCACGCCGTTCTTCTTGGTAAACTTGCACGACCAGACTGGATAACGTATGGAGTTCCTAAAAATTCTAGAATTTATACATCTACGCTTAAATTACCAAATGATATAAATAATATAATACTCAACGGTAGAAGTTTTGTGAGCGATGGAAAATATCTTTACTTGCATACAAGTAAAGGATTATTAAAGATTGGTAGTGGTCATGGTGGTACGATTTGGGGTCACGTATATGTCCATAAGGCTGATTTTTATGCAACAGAAACTGGTTGGCTTGGTTATGCAAAAGTTAGCCATATTCTTTATCTTTAGCTTTGTTTTCCTTATTTATTATTCAAAAACATTAATATATTTATGTTTGTTTCTGCAGAATTCATTATACTTTAAATGTGCACCGAGAAAGCAAAGTGAACTTATAATAATAGATGCAGAAACTCTTGCAGTAACAGGTATTGCTGTATTGGAAGGACGTGATTGGTCATCATCTGTTATGTTTTCTGATGGTGAAAATCTTGGAATGATAACAGCTGGCAAAGATGTAAGTATTACAATGCTACCATTCAATTTTCACATAATACTTGGGTCTAATTTTTGTTTAGGATGGTTTTGTGGTGCGTACAATAAACACATTGAGCAATCCAGTATCATTTGCCTCAGAATTACCATTGAAATTAGCAAGAAAATGTGTAGATATCTTCGGATATGCAGCTTTCGATGAAGAACAAGTTGTACATACGTTGAATCTTGGTTGCGATGAAGAAATAGCAATGGTTACAGCTGGAAAAGAATTTGGTTTACTTAAAACTGTATCTGGTAAAGTAAGTATTACATTTAATAATTATATATATATATATATATATATATATATATATTTATGGTTATTGTATTTATAAAAGAAATTTGTTTTATAGATATTATATACTGGAAAGGGAGCAGCTTTGGGTATGAAAAGTAACACAAGGCCTAACAGATGGTTGGAACTTACACTTGGCAAAGGGCCAAGAGTTACAAATTTTGCTGCAGGTCATGATGGGCAGCATGCAGTTTTTGTTTTGGAAGATGGTACTGTTTTATTTGCTGGAACTGCCAGACGTGGAGAAGATGGTGATAGCAGTAAGTAATATGCATTCAATTTGATTATACTTATATTATATATTTTGGACATTTTTATTTTAGATAAAGCTCGTAGACAACCTAAACCAGTTAAGCCAAAGAAAATGGTCAGAGGAGAAGGAAAATTTATCGTAGATACTGCTTGTAATAATGGTACAACAGCTTTAGTAACAAAACATGGTTCCCTGTTAATGTTTGGAAAAGATACACTGCATTGTGATCCAACGACGGGATTGGTTACTGATCTTATAGAAGTTTATGTAGTTCGTGTTTCTCTTGGAAAAGCACATGCTGCAGCATTAACTAATAAGGGACATCTCTATACATTTGGAATTAATAATAAAGAACAATGTGGCAGGGATTTCTCAACCGTGCATACAGTGAACAAAGAAGCTACAGTAGTTGCTATGGAAATGGGTACAGGGGAAGATGAACTTATTGTAGCTGAAGAAGGTACTTATCTTTTTTTTTTCATTAACAAACATTTTTGGTAATTGATTAAAAAATAATACTTTTGTTATTAATAAAGATGGTACAGATCCTGGGGAAGATTGGGAAGAGACAAGGGGTATGTGTCCACCAGGTCAACATCAATGGAGACATCGTGTCTGTATGGTTTGTACAGTCTGTCGTGAATGCACTGGATACAGTATATCTTGTTTAAGTATTCGACCAGATAGAAATCCAGGCCAGTATGTATTTTTTAATATTTACATATATACACTTTTAATATTAACTTTATTATTGCATTAATTATTTCTTTTTTTTTAAACAGAGAATGTGGTTGTGGTGAAGGTGACAGTGGATGTGCAGAATGTGGATGCTGTCGTACCTGTGCAAGAAAAAGCTGTAATAACGGTAATAAATTCTAACTGATATGTTTATTAAAATATGTAATTGTTATTAGAGTAATATATGTAATATTATGTTGTTGTACTATTATAATATAGGAAGATCAGGTTCCAATTATCGTGAATATTTACAAAAACGTTTAGGAGAAATAAGACAACAAAGGCAGAGAAGTAAAGCAGGTCCAAGTGCAATGAGATATGGAATGAAGATGAAAGGAGCTAATAATCAAAGATTAGGTAAATTAATAAACAAAGTGACAAATTGATAGATAAAAATGACAAATATATAATCTTTGTATTATGAAAAAAGTAGGATCAAGTATTGTTCCAAAAGGAGGAGGTCAACCAGGTAAAATGGCATTAGGATTAGGTAGCAATGTAGCAGGAGAAGAAGTTGTCGGCGGTAGCGACGTTGAAAGAGGAGATGCTGCAAGAATAGCAAGTATACCACCAGCTAGAGTTCCTATACCTAGCGATAGTCCTGTGATTCAAGTGTCTTGTGGTTTGCATCATACAGGTATATAATTTAATTAGTAATATAATTATTTTCAACAAATTCTCATTATCTTGAATCATTTTTGTAAATATCATTTCAGTGGTACTTTTACAAAATGGAGAAGTATACACATTCGGAAGCAATATATACGGTCAATTAGGTATTGGGTATATGGTAACACATGCTGGTCCAGTTCACGTTAAATTACCTACTTTAGCTACTCAAGTTGCTGCTGGA